TGGTTGAAAAGCTTCGGTTTTGTTGTTGACGTTATGTTGAAATTCGTGCATCAGGTGGGGCCGTGCATCAGGTGATCAACCACGGTATTTGATATGGTTTGGAATGAACTCAGACCGTGATAATGTGCCCCCGCTCCTCACACAACTCATCCCAGCAGGCCACTGCACCTGCCAATCGTCCACTTCGTTTCAATGCGCCGACTGCCTCACCTGTCTCGCCTCGCCATCACCATCGGAACCAGAGCACCCTGCAACTTGGGGTTTCCAGTACGGACGAGACGACCAGAACCTAGGCCTAAGCCAGAGTCAGTGCCAGGCAGCATTCCTCGGTCTCTTCCAGGACATCCACCGAGGGGTCGAGTATTGGAAGTCGCGAGGAGGCATATCAAGAGATGATCTGAACATGGTCCCACTCAAAGATGGCATGGCCCGCGCCATCATCTCCAACGGAGACCTACACGCCGAAGGGCGGGTGGGGCTGCTGACCTAAGAGACGGCTACCACACAAATATTTTGTATGACATGTTTGTTACGCCCGGGTATTCGGACAAGAGCTCTATGAGTGTTAGCTGCCTTGCGTAGCGTGGAGACTAACCCTGAACAATGAAGAATCCGATATGATTCCGTGATGGTGAACGGCGTTGGTTCCGAATACGATCCTATCCAGGATCCGACAAGATGACCTAATCCAAGGTCCGTTGAGACGCGATACTGTTCCGTGGATAGCTCAAGTCCAAAAGGCCAGGCCTACTAAGTACGTATACTCAGTAGTTAAGGAAGTGTGAACAAGTCGAATACTAACTTGATACCTAAGGTGTATCCTAAGTAACAATTGTAATTGATCACGAAGAACTAAACTAAGTACATGAATGAGTGTCCTTATATATCCATCCCTGGGGCTCAGTGGTAGCTGGGTTGGTATATTGATATGAATCTATACGAGACACGTGATCGCTCTAGTGGCTTGGCCGGATCACCAACTCTTCAGCCCCTGAAGGCTTTACCCATTAGTAGGAGATAGAGGAGAGAAGAAGCAGTCAAGATAGTTGATATAGTCGTCCATAGAATAGAGCACCTATCCGAATGGCATCCGGTCCTCAGTAGGCTACGTACGTGTAGCTGATACAGCTTCATCCTGCCCATCTTTCCCCTGAGATCACAACACCTATATGTAGTTACTGGAAAACAGAGAAACTCATTTTGAAAATGGGAACTTGATAAAACCCACGATTTTTGTTGAATTAAAAGGATATCTTGCGGATTGAAATGTATATTATGCGGATTAAAATAGATATTATACGGATTGAAATGGATATGCCGCAGATTTACATGGTTAGAATGGATATAATGTGGCTCGTTTTGAGGCTATCTGTGATGATCCTATACACACTGGAAAGATGTATTATTCATATCTAACGTGGCGATCTAACGAAACATCAAATGTAGAGAAAGAAACAAAATTCTATCATACAGGAACTGTGGGATATCAATGTTGTGGGAACTGATCAACAGTGAATAAAGCATTTGGTGCCTCAGGCAGAGTTTAACCTAAGGCCCTGACAATTAGTAGCTTTCCTTCATAGTCTAGAACATTGATTTCAGAATTATGAGAAGGCTTAGAATACGAAAGGCATGCAGGGACGTATGCATATACATAGCTTGCTTGATTGGCGGGTTGGTAATCAATGGCAGGAAGAAAATTCGAAAAACCGAAGTAAAGCCGATGCCAAGGCGAGATTCCTTGCGTGTATGCAATCGAGAATGCACAGAGCTCATAGTGACCAAGTAAGTATAGCGCAAAGCGGCAGTACCCAACATGTTTTGCTTAGTCCCGACCGAGCAATCTCGTCTGTCTCTCTAGGAATAGGATCCTGGGCCGGTCCTGTTCAGAGCCCAATAGTTTTCCTGCAACGGATGGCTCAAATTCCAAAGGGCCCTCATTTATTGCCCAATGCTCTGTGTTCTCGATTTTAGTATGCTCATACCATGAATGCAGATTATATGACCTTCGGAGTATCTGTATAATCATGACTTCGATAGAACACCATGCACGATCGTGGTAACTAGTATCGACTAGGCTAATTACTGCATCACACTGTGCAAGGTTGAGAGGGAGGGCGGCAATTCCAGACAAAGGGTCGTCCTGGTCGATGCACGCCCAATCCTGGATAAACATAAGTACCTATCGTCTCTTCGAGAGGATGGAATTCAGAACTTACCAGCCAAATTCCTAGCTTCTGTGGGTTTATGGAAGGGTGAGTATCTAAGAATGCCTCTATTGCTTTGATCATCCGGCAATATTGGGTATTACTGGTGTCATCTGGTGACGTTACACACGCTGGATCACCATTGATCCAGCGATATGATATAAAGATGATATAATCTGGAGCAAGGTTGGGTTTTATATCGTGATAGTTCTGTGTCAGGCCGTGGTTCGATCGTGGAAGTCTACCATTGTGCACGAAGTCCAGGTACCACACAAACTTGAGCCCGTCAAATATATTGATTCTCTCTTCGTTTGCTGTAAGTGACGTGGTATACACGCGTCGTAGATGCTGCAGTTGATTTGCATCATTGCTGTTTTCTAGAAGGACAGGCCGCAGACTTTCCTGGAACACCTCCCGATAGCACTTTCGAACTCGAGCCTCTCTTTGCTGCTGTAAGAGCTTGTCGTCTGCTTGCTCTCCAAGCTGTTGGCGAAGCCCATCAAGAACAACCTCTTCAGTCTGCTTGTCGCCGCAGAATACAGCGTAATCCAATGCACTATAGCCCTGCTCGTCGATAAGGTCCATGTCGACTCCAACCTCCACCAGTTCTTGTAAATATCCCAAATTCTCATTCGAAGGCTCTTTGCACAGTGCCATAGCGGGAGTACACGTCCCAATCGGATTGAACTGCCGTAACGCTTCCTCAAACTGCCCATTCAGATGCAAAGCGCGCCCATAGAAAAATCGGGACATTGCAACTACTGTAGGGTCTTTTATACTGAGGGCGGCTTTCACGGATTCTGAAGCCGTGGCAATCGCGTCTTTTGTGAGACCACAGGCAGTGTAGCAGAGTGACAGTCGAGACAGTCCAACCGTCTCCCAGATGATGGCTTGGTATTTCTTACCCGATCCCACAAAAGCCTTAATGGATCGAGCTAGCTGGATACGCTCCTTCAGCTGGTCAATGGCTAGAGGCAGTAAATCTCTCGAAAGCTGGTAGTTTACCATGCCCAAGTTCCCGATAGAACGGCACATGGCATGTTCTAGCTTTAGCTCCCTTGCCAGCTTATACTGAATCTCAAACTCTCGCTTCGCATCTTCAAGTCGATTCATATGGCGATAAACTACCCCCATCTCTCCATGAAGATCGACATGCAAAGGTGTTGAGCCAAGCATATTCAGCGCGTTTTTCAGATACTCCTCTGCCTTGTCATATCTTCCAAACTGTCTAAATGTATATCCTAGCTTCCCTAGCACGATATGCTTGTAGTTTGCTGACTCTGGCAAGCGCTCTGCCTGCCCACAAAGACTGAGAGCGTGGCTGAATGACCGCAATGCATGTTCCCACTCAGCACGCTGGGCATGTTTTCCTCCCTGCTCCATCAGTATTTCCCACAATCGAACCGCGTCTACCATGGTCGCTAGCGCTGCTGGTATGATGCCACCAGGATCGCGCAGTTGAGTGGAGGAGCCAAGATCCTTAGGACCCAACACTGGTGCGTCTTTCACAAACCCACGAGATGCGTCAAAGTAGAAGAGCGTGGCGTGCAGGGTATCAGGTAAAACTTCTGTGCGATGGAATGCAGCGGCCGGAATCGAGTAGCTCATGTTGCGCGTGTGAAGCTTTGAGCCCATAGCCGTCACTCGCACCAAATTTCCAGTATTCTCGACGGTAGATGATATCTGATGGATTTTATATGACTCACTGGGACTTGTTCCATCTTGCCAGACTAGCCTATATTCCGCATGGGTGGCTGCTGCATAATCTGTCGTCGGGTGAACATCGAATGTATGGTCCACCCCGGCACCAGCGAGGATCCAACTCTGTCCAAATGGCTGATGAGAATGAACCGCAAACACAGAAGACCCTCGCTGGCTATCGGGTAGCCACACATGAAGCCGAAAAAGCTCCTCAATATTGCCGTTATCCACTATGCTGCAGAGTGGAACAGATAGGAACCCTTGTGCGCTGCGGGATGCCCGGACATTAGAATCTCGAAACAGGTCACTGAGAAGTGCACCTCGTATCATGTTCCATACTATGGTTAAATCTGCGTCTGAGACGACCGCATGGCTAGAATTCTCTATCCTTCGACCGCTTTCGCGAAGAAGAGCAATTGCGAGGACAAGGTCTGCTACGTGTCTTATTAGGAGCTGGTTCTTCTCATTGCCACAAGAAAAATCCGAAACTATAGCAAGCCAATTACTGAGAGGAAGAGCCTGGGCAACATCAACATCGGTGCATCTGTTCACACTTTCCATTGGGACACCGCAGGCAAAACACCGAGTGAGTGGCTCATAGCTGCTCTCGTCTAATAATGTGGCCGCTGCAACTCCCCCGAGCACCCTCAAGAGCACCGAATTCGTAACCTTGCAATTTTCCATAGATAAAGCTGCCATGTTTAAGATCGATTGATCGATACTTCAGCTGTGAGTCTTACAATCAAGGTAAGCAGATATCTGTTAGTGTGTTCATGCGAACCCCGCATGAGGCTTACATTCCTTTCATTCATTGGTGGCTTTCGTAGTCTCCACCGGCTATATACAGTATATTGTTGATTGGCTGCGATATTTCTAGATCTAAATAGAAAGTTCATTTACCTTTTACATTGCAATTTTCTAGGCTGGTTTCTGAGCGCAATAGTGTTAGCCCTTCTGTACTGTATTGCCTATTTCTATAAGTGAGAAACTAAATTAATTCTTCGTTCAACCCCTTGTCGATACCCAAGTTTGAGACATCCTTCTTTATAACTAAACCAGAGCTGCTTTTCTCTTAATCTATTTATTAGTACTTCGAGAAGATTGATAGAAATCCAGACCAGCACCGGGTCCGTCGTACACTACTCCTTCGCCTCCAACGGGCCGGCTGGGCACGACGTTTCGCGCCCACAGACCTGTTCCACCTGCCAGGCCGCCATAACTGCCTTGTCCCAGCATTTGCGTGAGTGCCAGCAGCCCTGTCCCGAGTGGCAGGTGAACCATCAGCGCTTCGGGTCCGATGGGGAGGTGGATCGCAGTGACACCCGCTTCCTCTGGACCATGGCGCAGCGGGCAGGAGGGCTTCCCGTGCAGGGGGATCCCCCGGGCACCTTCCGGTCCAGCCTGGCCCAGACAATTGTCGCGGAAGTGCTCCAGTCTCGTACCAGTTAGCCACCGTCACTGGTTGGTGGGTTGACCGGCCTGTCACGTCACGAGAAGGCGGAACGGCGGTGGTCTGCCGTGACAGGACGCAGTGGTGCTCTGGATCTGACCAGCACGTGGCAGCGAGTGGCACAGATGCCGCTGGGCGGGGTACCCATGGGATGGGAACAAGCGGATCGATTGCTTCAGCTGACATTCAACATCGCATCACCTGCGGTCTTAGTGGGGATCAAGCGCCAGCTGTCACATTTGCGGGCCCGAGAGCACGATACGACGCGTCCCTTTGGTCGCAGCGCGGCGGGCGTGTTTGAGGCGGGCCTGTGGCACAAAAGCAATGAGCAATCGTCTCGGATTGGGCTTGCGTTGACCTGCTGGTATGTCCACGATCTGCGCCAGCAGCATAGCCAGAGGGGCTGCCCAGACCTGTTAGGCCAGACTGTCAGGGACATCATCCAGGGCCTCCCAGCGGACGCTCGGGATTATCGTCAGGTAGAGGAGAAGGTCAAGGAGTGGAGCAAGCGGGCATAGCCGTGGAAACAGCTCGCGCGTATCGCTGGGTCTCCTAACATTCTCTGCTTCCTTTCCCAAGGCGTGGGCTACTTCTCCGGCGAGGAGGGATCGTCCATGACGGACTACCGCATGCTGAAAAAGACCCAGTTTGAAGCCATGGAGGCAGTCCTGCAGCAGTTCCGGCCCCGGTTGCTGCAGAATATTCCCCCGGATTTCTTCGAGATCTTCCTGTACAACCGCCTGCCAGCAGCCCGGTTTGCGTTCGAACAATGGATGGACGAGGAGATGCTGCATGAGCCTCTTGATTCCAGCAAATTCGACCACGCTTTTGACCCGCAGCCAAGTTGACCTGCCCTTTGTAGCTCTAGCTTCAGATACTCGGTCAGTGTTAGAATGAGTGTCCTGTAGAGGAGCGTGGAACATCCCGCGCGACTCTGTGCGTTGATATGCTTATTGATCTGTGAGATACAGCCAATACTTTGGAATGTTGCAGCATTAATTACAATATCGTACTGTGCAGCGCCTTATAAGCCATGCCTGAATTTGAATTCTTCCACTATGAGTTTCCTGAATTCTAGACTGTTCATACCAGAATGCGGCATCCGGCATCTGGATCAATCTATACTAGCACGCGGTAGTAGAAATCTGAGCGGCACTCCCATGCATTCTAGATGTAGTGGTAGTGTGAGATAGCATGGCAGGGGATTGCAAGGTTGCTTGCTATCAGCCATGTGTGTGGGAATGGCCTTGGCATCCAGAGAGAGTGCGTGCCCTCATATGGGGCGTTGCCGCTGCATACCATCATATGGATTTACGGTTCTCGAGACGTTAGTTGTGGGACTGATCTACAAGAAAAGCGCAGCCTGGCTCCATTAGAGACAACGCCTCTCAAGAGATCCTTCGGGGTATATTTGTTCTTGCCGATGCCCACAAGCTAGGTACGCGGACGCCACGGTATAAAGATATCGTAACCCAGCTGCTTCGAGGAGTCAACAGGCCCATCTCGGCGTGTGTATCTTCCTAGAGCCTCGCTTGTACCTCCTGGTGTGCCCACATCTCAGCCAAGCTCCCTTTTGCACGATCCCAAGAACACCTACCCCCTCCTCAGACCAGCGTGCTGCTGCTGGACCTACCGGGTGAGCTCTTACTTTGTGTCATGGACCATCTGGAGCGGGCCAAGGACATCCATTCTCTGTGTCTCACCAATTCACATGTATATCGACAGCTGTTACCGGCGCTCTATCGCTTCAACATATGATTCCAAAACCGCTCGGCGCTGCCCTGGGCAGCGCGTTATGGTAAGCTGGAACTTATCCAGACGATGTGTGTTTACCGGGCCCGCGTCAATGTGTATCTCCATGGCTACACACCTCTTCATTTTGCTGCAATGTTCGGACAGGCACCCGTTGTGAGATGGCTGCTCTCGTACGACGGCATCGATGTCAACTGCCGCGGCGAGGGTTTGGGCTTGACCCCGCTTGGTGTGGCGGTGCGGAAGAAGGATGTAGAGGTTGTTCAGGTGTTGCTTTCAGACGCCCGTACGGATATCAACGCGGGAAGCAGGGACAACAAGACACCGCTGCTGGACGCTATCAAGCATCGGCACCTCGTCATTCTGCGATTGCTTCTGGCCGATGCGAGAATTGAGATGCATCCACAGGGCTAGTCAGCCTCGCCATTGCTGTACGCCATGCGCAAAGACTTCGGCAGCGGCGGTCGCGCGCTCCTAGCGCATGGCGACATTGACATCTCAGCACGAGACTGGAAGGACCGGACGGTTCTGCACTATGCTGTTCTGCACAACGACGACGGACTTGTGCAGCTCTTGCTTCAGAAGCAGGACCTTGATGTGAACACGCAGGATTGGCATGGTATGACCGCCCTGCACCGTGCCATCATCAAAGCCAATAGACGAATCGTCGCCCTGCTCTTGACACGCAGTGACCTTGACGTCTCGATTGCCGGCTACGATGGGCACTGGAAGATATACAAAGAATCGCCACCATTATCTGTGGCTGTTGCCCTCCGCAGGTACCACATCTGCAGGCTTCTGCTGGAAGCCCCTACGGATGCCGATGTGCGCACGGCCAGCGGGAATTCCCCCTTACATCTCGCCGCAGGCATGGCGGATCTTGATTTGCTCACGCTATTGCTCAACCAACCGGACATCAAGCTAAACAGCCGGAACGACGACGGGTTCACAGCTCTGCATGAAGCCACAACTCGCGGGTACCTGTCCGTTGCCAAGCTGCTCCTCGCTGCGCCAGGGGTGGATGCGAATGTGGGAGATACATGCGGGCAGACCGCACTCTGGTGGGCGACGAAGCGCTCTGACGAGATTCTGACAAAGCGACTGCTATGCGAAGACGACCTCGATCTTAATGTTGTAGGCCGGGATGGATCAACATCCCTCCATCATGCGGTCCAGTACCGGAACCGAACCATAGCACGGCTACTTCTCTGCGAGGAGAGACTGGATATCAATGTACCGGACATGACCGGTTGGACTCCACTTGTGTGGGCCGTGCATCAAGTGGACATTGACATGGTCAGACTTTTGCTTGCAAGAGACGATCTGCAGCTGGATCCAATCTTCGCGGGAAACGCATCGGCACTGGGCCTGGCAGCGGAACAAGGCCACACCAAGATTGTGATCTTATTCCTCGAGCACCGGGATCGCTTGGACATTAATCTCCCAACCCAGACAGGCGAGACCCCGCTATGCCGGGCCGCAGCAGCCGGGCATCATGATGTGGTCGATCTCCTCCTTCAAGATCCTCAGCTGGATGTCAACCGGGCGGACCTCATTGGACGCAGTCCGCTGTGCTGGGCGGTGTATGCAGGACATTTCAACATTGTGAGACGTTTGCTTCAGGACAGAAGAGTCGTGATTGAAGGGGATTACTTCCGGCGACCAGCACTGGCGGCCGCTCATGAGATGGGACATGCAGAAATTGCTGATCTTCTTAAAGCATATAGACACGGATGACAGGTGGTACCGGCATCCTGGTGAGCGTGTAATCTGATCGCTATCGGGCGACTCCTGATTACAGTACTACATGTTATCATTCGGAAACTTATGTTACATGACTGATGTTAGCCAGAGCACAATCACTTGGATGCAATACTCAGAGCATGTGTATGTTACTCGTAGAAGCCCCCGCCTAATCCAGTCAGACCTTATGATATAACCTTTTTCTTTTTCGTATCAGTATTTATCTCTACTGGACTAGGTAGAGCCAGCGTGCAGAACTCTATCTCGAAGTACAGGTACGGCTTTGCCGCTCTCAGTGAATAGTCCCAGAACGGACCGCAGCCATAATATATGCTGTACTGGTAGTAATCCTACACATCAATCAACTGAGCCTAGGGGAGGCAAATGGTTGATTGACAAACCGTCAAGTGAGCGTCAGGTGACCGGTCACGTAGGACGCTCACTCATGCTACTCATCATGTCTGAGCAACCGTGGCTAGGTAGAATCGGTACGAGGAGCAAGTCTTCGCTCCGTGCTTTCTGAACTATCACATTCAGTGCTAGTCGCAACACAGCTGCTTGCACTCGCTAATGCAGACGTCATGTGACTGTTTGAGATGCTGTATGATTCCTGAGGCTCCTGTATTCCCTTCAAAAATTGACTAGAGATAGTTGCTGGCATCACTTTCTGCTTCTCCGGTCTAAAGGAATTGACGTAATGACCCAGTAGTTGTACGGCGAATGTTCCCTTGACTCCCCCCATCATTGGCTGGAGGCGGTAAGCGATGGGTTTCTTTGCTGGAAGGAGTTAGCGTACTACGCAACGTGCGCTATTACATATCGAGCTTAGCGCACTGTCCAGATGCCCTAGTCTGCTACTGCAGCATGCGTCCAGTACTCCACCATGCCCAGAATCCCTTTCAGCTTTTGGAGATTTACAAACATTCTCTCATATCCATGCGAGATGATATTCAGCCCAACATATAGACGTTAAGCGTCGTGTGTCCGTTCAGTACAGTATCCACAACTTACTCTTTATAAGGGGCCAGCCGGTAACACGTGTACCGGGCCAGCTCATGAGTACATCAGTACTTGAACAACCGCGGTATTTTCATCCATTCGACTTTGCACCTTCTATATACTCCCATCCTCTGGGCTCGCCCGATTCAACCGTAACATAAGAGCTCAGCAATGAAGGCGGTCATAATCCCCAGAGATACAAAAGTGTATCGACCATCAACCCTACAGAACCACGATTCTGGTGGCCGTTTGCGGTTTATAGCCAGCCTGGACACCGCACAGGATGACCCTAAAATAGCAAGGCAGGCATACAGCGGCCGTTTCCTCAACCCAAGGCCTAGTGAGTCTATCTCGTACGCTGTTCCCTGATTTGACCGCAGGAATATGCTGACATGTGGTCAGACATATGTCGAACACTGCCGCAAATTTCGAGGCTTCACGGCTAGTATCTGGGACACCAAAACATGTGGAGTGTAATCCATCGTTCGGTATATATGTTAGAACGCCCGGCACATCCTGCTTGTTCGCAAGCGCTCTCGACCACGCAGAAAGACTGGAGTGCTTCGTGATCACGAGGCTGGTATCTAAGTATCTCCAAGCCCATTTCGGAAAGGACCACCACTATTGGCCTCCCAATGTCCGGCGCAAAACACCGCTTTATCTTAGTACGGAAGGTATGTATGTATATCACATGTTTGTGTTCTCGCCGAGACCAAGCTCTCTTACAGAGAGCGTGGCCTGTTTATTACGGTGACTTGATGTTGGACCTGGCTAATTGGTACAGAGAAGAAGCTAGTTCTGTTGCACTGGTTCCATAGAATCCCAGTTGAGTATCTGGTGAGCGCTCCTTTTAATCAGCATGCCACGTCACGACTGTCGTCAAGGATACTGGAACGGCTGGAGGCTGCCTGCCTTGATTGCTCATGTCGCATTCAGAACTAGGACCCATGTTATATAAGTATGAAATTTGTAATTGCCTATGGTACAGTATATTGTGTGCACGGCTTTCCTTTCTGTTAAGCATCCACGTCTTTCATCCTCTCAGGGGGAGACGTCGGTGATAGCATGTGTCGTAGAGTCGGCTCTTTTGCAAGAGCGGCAAGATAGGGAGGTGACAGTGTTCTGGACGCTCAGTGTTATTCCAGAATTAAAATGTATCTCTCTTGATGGCGGCTTGTAGATGTGGCAATGCAAGCAGCTCTTGAAAAGCCCCCTGGTTGGTATATCTCCGCTGACGCCTATAAGGTAAAGTATCATGCCTAACTCCCATATTTCTCATTCTAATTGCAACATGCGATCCGTCCATATTCACGGTCGATCAAGGCCAGTCTCGCATGATTCCTTGTTGACTCACTGAGCCGTTGGTCGTACCTGAAAGTCATAGACCAGAGCGAGATTTGTTGTCTATCTAATCTCCATGCCTTGACGGGAAGAGCAGACAGTAATTCACTTCTCGACGTGGTTGGTGTGAAGAATGAAATACGATCCACCACCTCTTCTGGAAGTTTCATGACGGGAAGGGCTGGCACTGTACCTCCAAGCGAATACCGCCAAGAAGGTCTCGCACGTTTGAGCTTGGAATGGAGCGGTTAAAGGAAAATAGGATCAGATATCCCACTTGTACGTATAAGCTCTGGTAGTACTACATAAGCCCATCAAGCTGAGTTGTATGTCATGAATAAAAGGGTACCATATCTTTAGTGTTTATTGTACTTCTTATTCGTGAGGCGGGGCCAAGGGATAGAATTGAAGGAGGCGATTCAGACACGCGATGAAAGGATTGCCCAGAGAGGTAAAAATGATAACCGCTGCGTTAAGCTGCACTCTCGGGTAGGTACGTCAATAGACTATTTCACCGGACTCTCAGGACTTGGGTCGTACTCCCCCAGCATATGGCTGGATGCTGGCCATGAAAAGGGTCTGCGTTGCCTTTCTAGTGGGGCCCGCCCGCAGAGAAAGTGTATTTATCGGTTAAACAATATATGTGACGTAGAGAGTGGCACGGAAAGACAACGTGTATTTTGGAATGTGCTTGTTATCCATTCTACTTCCTTTCATAGAGAGTTTCTTGATGGGAAAATGCGTAGATGGGCCCTGCCATCTGCCATCTGCCAACTGCTGACCACGGCGAGCAAAAGCTCGGATCAGGACCGAGTTCAGCAGTGGTCTATAGACTGGGGCCCCTTATGTAGTAGTGGCTGGTTTGTAAGTATCAGTGGTCACCTGGCTATAGTACTTGGTAACTTCCAATTGAACCATGGTCAATAATCTGTGAATGCTATATCCGGTCCCCCTTGTCTTTTCCTTAGTGTGTTTCGGTCGTCAAGCTGTAATTAGTGATAGTCGCATTATAGGCATTCGTTATCACCCGTAGGTGTTTCTGGGCAGTAGTTTCTCTTTGGTTTTTTTTGGTTTTTTTTGTTTTTTTTGTTTTTTTTTTTTTTTCCCCTTTTTTTTTTTTTTTTTTTTTTTTTTTTTTTAAAAAAAAAAATAAAAAGACGAAGACAACTATATGTTTTTTTTTTTTGTAGTTTTTTTTTTTTTTTTTTTTTTTTTTTTTTTTCCCCTTATGGACGGCCTTTTGCTACATGACGCCTGAGTCTCCGTGCGTTGCGCGGTATGATAGCCTTTTACAAAGCCTTCAAAGATGCCGTACCGACTTCCCCAAGGTCTTCTGAAGGTTTAAAACCGGGCCCTCTATAAGTGTATGGATAAAGCCGTCATATGAGAGCCTTACTAGGCTGTGTAAAGCAGACGGCTTGGCATGAGCGGATGCCAGTGTGAAGTCTGGCCGGCGTGGTAGCGACTATCTATTTTAAATGACTATACTGAATAGGCGAAAAGAGCGAATGCATATAGCCGTGTTCGGCCAAGCTTTGTCTCATATTTGAACAGCAACTACAAAAGGAAAAGCACTTTAAAAAAGTTCTTGTATTCCTGCCGACGTGTTTGTACGGGTCTTGTAATTCAAAATGTTCTCGAGGGCAGCAGAACTGGCCACTGGCTCCGGCAAATATGACACGATACTCCGTATTCGTCAATGAAATATAAACTGACTGAAAGAAGAGAAATGTGTAAGTATGCGTTGGGCTTGATAGATTGCTGAAAAGAGAGACAATTCCAGAAGTTATTGCTATGAGGTGCTGTAAGAGTCCGCAACACGACCGTTGCGAGTATAGGTGCTATTCACTAAAGGTTCAATCACATGTGGGACGGAAAACTGCAGCAATGAATAAGGCAAATAACAAGAACAGTGCCAGAATCTCTGTGACAGTCGTTTTCTCTTCCATTTCGGAGCAGGTGTGACATTGATGCGGTGGGGAGCCAAACGGGTTGATTATTTCGTTGTCGTTCAGCCGGGGGTCGCCAGCGAGAGAGTAGTATATCGGCATGTCTCTTTTCTCTTTTGCAAACCAGAGAGCAGACCGACCGTGATTATCCTTCAAATTGACATTTATTCCACAATGTTGCAGGAGCGGCTTGACCATTGCCAAATGTCCTTTGCATGCCGCTATGTGAAGTGCGGACCAACCGTTGTTGTCTTGTGCATTGGTATCAACCCTACCTCGTCGCAGGAGTAGCTCCACAACTCGCAGACGTCCTTCATCTGACGCTTCATGAAGCGCGGTGCACCCGTAAATGTCCTTCCTATTGACATCGGTGCCACGATGTTGCAGGAGCAGCTCGACAATTGGCAAACGTTCATTATATGCTGCTTCATGAAGAGCGGTTGACCCGTGTTTGTCCTGCGCATTTACATTGATTCCAGGAAGTTGCAGGAGCAGCTCCACAACTGGCAAATATCCTTTCCCTGCTGCTATGTGAAGTGCGAGGAACTTGTCGGTGTCTTGGCATGCAGCATCTGCTCCGGACGCAAGCAGCTTGCTAACGGCAACGCAAGGGCACTTGTAGGCTGCCCACATAAGAGGAGTATTTCCCGGTCTGGCATCAATGTCGGCATCATTGTCTCGAGAGAGCTGTGTAGCGGCTACCCGATGGTCTTCACAGGCAGCTAAGTGCGAGCATACATCAGGTGTAGAAGGATCCTGCATAAAATCATGGTCGCAGTTCTCTTGGCCCATTCTGGTAGCTGTAACGATGCAGACGAACAAAGAAGTATCTGACCAGGTCCTTGCCGCCAAGCCGATGAAGTGCAGGAGTTGTCATGTTTTATATCCACTGACGCTCTTATTCTGTTCCCGATGACGCTGTTCTTTAATCCCTTGAAAGCGACTTTTAGCGGTATGGTATGACCCGGTCACATTCCTGGATTACTCGATATAATATCGTTTCCCGTATAACCGGTTGCTCCAAGATGACGGACAATGCTCCTTGGAACGTCTGCTGGGCTCCTAAGAGACCACGTGGTAGTCCTCAGAGCACGGTCTCTTTTACATTGTACGTCTCTGGTCGGGAGAGGCCATTTGCCAAAAACGTCTCCGCCACTGAGCTACGACCCACCCTCTCTTCTCCACGAACATGTCTTGCGTCCCACAGTCAACCCAAAGAAGAGATAGGGAGAGGGCAGGGAAGATAGGAATGGGCAAAGTGTCTCAGCGGGACCTCGACCAAAGTTATCAACATCACCGCCAACATATAGCCAGTCCTGATGATGTTGTTGAGCACCATTACTCCATCCAAACGTGATCTGCTACACAATATATTTTCCAGAACGCTTCAGAACGCCCACACTTCGTTCCCATTAACCGCCGTTCGGCTAGTGTTTCAATTCTGAAATCTCTTCACACTGATGGAGGTAATCTCGTACAGTCTCCCGTATGTGGCCTCGAATAGCGTTGCCTGCAGAGGACTAATCCTCCTTGGTCGTCTATGGCTTGAACCAAGTCAATCAAGATGCTTCCCATAGCCAGCGTCCGGCCTCGCTCTTCAGAATAATTAGCAGGTAGCTTTCTGATTATTCCGAAAAGCGTCGAGTGAGAAAATACTCCTGTAATCGCGTGTGCCCTCGTAAAGATAATACCTTTGGAGCTCCCTAAGCCGGGTGCACTCATGTGCATATCCATTACCACGCATATAGCTACATAGAACATCTAGGACTGTATCAGGCCAGCTCTTCATACCGATCATCTCCAGTCTTGGAATCTTTTACAGACATACGGTAACAATCGTCTATAACATCGTCAAGACCTAGGCCGCAGTTGTCATGTCTGGCCTATGGGTTGGGTGTCTGCAGGAACAACTACACAAAAAGCTCACCAATCGACTCTACTTGCCATACCAAGTGCAATCAGTGATTTTACGGTACAAAGTGCTACACATAACCGTATATCAACTCGCTCAGATAGAAGATAACTGCAGCAATCCAGAATTGACTGGCAATCAACAGGGCACTTTCGTATAACTGACATCCTCAGTCGTTCCATAATGGTCTGTGAAGAGGCCAGAATAAACAAATCAAGACTCCTGCAGCTACTGAGGCGTCAAAAGCCAAACCCACTGATAAACCACGGCGTCCTTGTACAAGCAGCTTCACTCTTGCCTCGCCTTCCCCACGGCTAAACGGGAGTCAGTAAAACAGAGCCTGGCGCTGATTGATATGCGCGTAGCTTTAATCTACTATATATAATCTCCAGCGCAAAATATATTAGACCAACGTGTCCACCCGTCCAGTCCGAGGATCGTTCACCTTACTGTAACGGCCACTCGCTGGTTGAAGCCAGAGTAGGACTTGACACATACTCCAGGACAACCTGTCTTTTAGGTCTGGAAGGCCTTCAAGCTTTGTACCAGTCTAGTAGTATTTCATTTTACAGCTGTTCAGAGAAGATGCCTCGGTACGCCAGTAACTTCGGTCACTTGGGCTCCATTAGTGCGTTGTTACTTTCAATTGCGGTATTGGTATGTTTGGCAGTGGTGTTTGTAGGCTGCACATCTTCATCCTCTCCTCCGGGTCTATATTTCATGAAGGTGGGCCGATGTATTTCTTTCGCTCATGATGCACGTTTACAGCTCATAAAAGGTCAATTTAAGCGATTTTCCAAACCTCGGCGACCTCCGTCTTCGCCGCTCCGTCGACTTGTCCGGAGTCTCCTCAAGCATCACGGACGGGGTTTCAAATGTCGCCAGCAGTGTCGCAGATGGCATGGATAGTGCAGCTTCTGAAGCTTCTACTGCCGTTGAGGGTATCGCAACCAAGGCTTCTACTGCCGCCGGAACGGTTGTGAGTCAAGCGAGCGATGCGCTTCGGACCTTAGAAAAAGAACTCCAGTCAGAGCTCCCGGCGTATTACACCGTCGGCTTGTGGGGCTACTGCGAAGGCAACGATACTCAAGTCGTCTCCTGTTCCCGGCCAAGCATATCTTTCACGTTCAATATCTCCGGCATTCTGAATTCTGCTTCGACAGAGATCGATGAACTGGTTTCAAAAATCGACAATAAAGTCCTCACTGGATATCACGACGTATCGAGGGCGGTTATTTGGTTATATATCTCTGGCTTCGTCGCAGCGACCCTTACAGCACTTCTGGGTATTAGGAAGACGTTTTTTAATGGAGGAAATAAGCTGCTCCTTACTTTCTGCGTGGTATTTCTATTATCATTGGGGTCGGAAATACGAGAAAGGACTTGCTAACTGTTCCAGCTTTCCTTGGCCCTTATCATGTCTGCAACGATCGGCGTAAACGTCATATACCGTCTGAACACTTCCGGGATCAATACAGTTCTGGGCAGCTTTGGCGCTTCAGCCAGTCTTGGAACGCACATGCTAGCCGCTGCTTGGCTTGCATTCGCATTTTCCAGTAGTGCCTTGTTGATCTGGCTGATCCAGTCATATTGTTGTAGCTGATCAGGCACAATAGACTCAAAGTTAGCAGTCGGCGGATTCGCTCGAGCTAGAGGCATCCATAACAGGTGAAATCATAGTCTTTGCAGGCCAGCTCCTGCGTACAGTTATCGGTATGAGAGTGGCTAAGAATTCATAGAGTCAGCATATCCTCAACAAGGTCTCGATGGAGTAGCAGGAGTGGTGCAGTAGCACCAGTATGGAAGTATGTCATTACCGCATTACCTTGCACGGTTAACGAAAAATAGGTTCCATATTCTATAGACACTTGAGTTGCAAAAACGGTGGAATAGTCTACTCCCTTTCATACTCTATTCCGGAGCCACTAGTCCAGAATATGCTAGTACTTTGACTCCTAGCCAAAGAATGAGGAAACTATAGCTTTATAGAATAGCCGACTGTTACAGACCCCTGCTAGTTAACTACTAGTAAGGCGGAATCGCCAGGCAGAAAGCGCCGATAAGGGCAGCGCTCGGGCAATCGACAACTCTTACCTAGTATTTTTTATAGTAATCTTACAAGTATTCAGGGGGTCTGGGAATTTCTCCCAGATATAGTTTCTGATATTTTATATAAATATAATTTAACAGATTATCTCGCGGGGTTTGAGCGACAAGATTATAAGAATAAATATAATAAAATAGTATAAAGAATAGATTTATATCACGGGGTTTAAATGTAGAATTATATTTTATTAAAATATTATCACTAGCTATTCTATTCTCTACCCGTGAATAATATATTATTCATGGGTAGTCTATAGACCATGTGATATGCCACGCTAGCCCAAGCCTCGCGACGGGACTGATTCCAGTATGGGCATTCCTCGCGATATCAGAGTATCGCGAGGGTTGTAGGGATATAGATCCTTACAGAAGGCATCCCCATCAAAACTGGGCACGGCGATATGGTACGCACCTTCGAATGTAGGCGTGGGTTGCCTGTTCGGCAGTGTATTTTCCCGCTCTTAATTGTTCCAGAAGTGTAGGGATGCTATCAATGTCGGTAATATTCTGCGCAAGAGAATCGTCCAGACAGGAGCGCTCCTGGACGTTATCGACTCGGGGACCTCGTTCGTCCAGATTCGAAACCATATATGGTGTCAAGGACTTATCACGAAGAGTCCGTTTCTCTGCGACGACTTGCTCCCAATTTCCAATGCTACCCATAGTGATGGACATTGCACCAGGTATGCAGGGACTGCAAGAGAGAGTGCAGGGGCCAAGTTGCCAAGATGCGCTCTCATAAAATATATATATGCATTGCGGGGAGAATAGCGGAGCCAATTCCGGCGAATGATTCAGCTTACATTTTTCTACTGATTGATCGGGGAGTACGGGGCAATTGCGGCGTCGACCTACTCTCTATTACCGATGCTTAACCGCAAGGATCCCGACACGATATTACGCAGTACTCCCGTAAGTGTACTTTCTGGCGCACCTAAGATAGTCTAATTGGCTGAGCCAGAACATAGCGCCGCCGCTGACTCATCGGCTAAGATAGAGGAAGCAGATAATGAAAACATTTGCCGAATGCGAGGCATTTCTGAAGCGATGATCCTTCATGACTCCACCACTCGGGATCCATATTTCCTCCCCGCTGAGCAAATGGTGGACTATAGCGATCCAGTCAGTGCCACAAACGCTACTGTGGAGTCTCAGCAAAAGCATGGTAGGCATGATAACGACTAAGCAGGGGGCATTCTCTTGGTACTCTAGGCACTTATCTTCGTAGTTGGAGTATCCCTCACAGTAACTTCGAGGTGGACAGTGCGCCGTTCTCCTGCCTGTGGGCCCAAGATAAGGTTGCTTCCTGGGCTCCGTTGATACGAGCCTCTGGGCCACATCCTATCTACCCCACGGGGTATGAACCAAGCCCAAGATGATAAGGAGGGTACCTGTGGGCCGTGCCCACACCTATAAAGATGAGAGATATTCATTATTGTTCGTTGAAAAGGCTTGAGCACGGGGTCTCTTTGCTTTCACCTATCTTGTACCATACATCTCTGCCTGTTCTTTGTTCTACTACGAACTATCACTGTTAAGAGACCAACAATGGCATACGACAATGCCATATCGACCTCTGAATCAGGGGATCTAAAGATTAGTGGCTCGATCGATGGTGAAAATGAGCGCCCACCGACGCCAAATCAAGTCAACGCTTGGGTGGAGGATCCAAATCATCCTCGTAAGTGGCCAACATGGAAAAAGAATGAGCAGATTCTAATGGTGGCGTTTCACTGCATGGGAGCCACCTTTATGACTGCGGGCATTATACCTGCCTATGACGTTATGTCGGAGGAATATGAAGTCCCAGTTGAATCGGCCACCTATCTTACAGCAACTCAGGTATATTTCTCGATTCCTCGGTTTAATTCTGTACAACGCGTGGTTGCTCACACATATTACTATTAAAATTCTGCTCCTAGGAATTACTCCCGTCTTCTGGAAACACATTACCGCGATTTATGGCCGTTACCATGTCTTCCTTTTCGCTGTGTTCGGCTGCATGCTCTGTAACATTGGCGGAGCCTTCTGCACTTCCTACGGAACCCAAATGGCCACCCGAGTGATTGCGGCTATCTGTGTCAGCCCTCCCCTTGGTATAGGCAGTGGTGTGATTACAGACCTATGTGAGCCACATGAACGTGCGCAGAAAATTGGCTGGTGGGTTTTACTGCTCACACTAGGCACTCCGGCTGGTCCGCTTATTATGGGATTCGTGAGTGGACATCTCGGCTGGCACTGGGTGTTTTGGATTCTAGCCATCATAAATTTCGTACAGTTCATGCTGTACGTGCTGCTCGGCGACGAAACGATATATCCTGAGGAAGGTGTCCCTCAGACGAGGCCTGGGTCGCCGGGTTCCTTCTTCAACAAATTCATTCCTCGTCGGCTTGATCCACGACCTTTGACAGCCTACCACTTTATTGAACCCCTGCTTGCCTCGAGACATCCTCGGGTTATAATTCCTATAATTGCTCAAACAATCGTCTTCTGCTATGGGAATATTGCGCTTATCGTTGAGATGCCAATCGCCTTTGGGGATAAATTCCAGTTGGATGAACAGCAAGTTGGGCTGCAATTTATCGGTATCATTATCGGGTGTCTCATGGGCGAGCAGTTGGCTGGACCCACATTAGACTGGTTTCTCAGAGTTATTGACAGAAAAAAGGGCTCGCATCGTCCGGCAGATCGCCTCTGGTTGTCTTATATCGGCTTTAGTACCGTCATCTGCGGATTGCTGGTGTGGGGATTTCAACTTGACAATGCATCCTCCACGTGGCATGTCACACCTCTAGTTGGCGCTGCTATTGCCAGCTTTGGAAACCAGACGATTGCGACGATCCTAATGACATTTTCTGTCGATAGCCACAGGGAGCTTGCCACGGATATTGGCGTGTGTCTGAGTGTTTACCGCCAACTTCATGGATTTGTAAGTGCTACGTTCTACCAGGGATGGGGCATTGATACTGACGTCTGTGCCAGGTGGGTCCCTTCTATTTTCCGGCCAGGTTTGATACCCTGGAATTTGCTGGTGCAGCTGGCGTTATGTGCGCTATCATTTTTGCTGTTGCTGTGGTCCCTACAATTGCGATCCAGTTTATGTCGAGTCGCTGAGATGTCGTCGGTCTCTGATCCGGGTCTGGGCTTAATAGGAATCGGGTTTTGTTGATAAGGAGAGTGTTAGCTAGTGGCTGACTGAGGTTGTATATCCGAGCGCTCTCGTCTCCAGGGATAAGTCGGGGAAATTAAATAACAGGCCAGTTTATGCTTCACTGCTAGTGCAAGAACCGTGCAGTTTGGCATCTATAACATATAATTTGGGATTCCTTATGATCCATTATGCAGATCTATACTTACAGCTAATGCGATGTAGAGAGTGGATATGGTAGTATACTTCTGTAGGCTAGGAATAGCATCTCCAACATGATTACTCTGTATGATAAAATGTCCGCTAAACCCTACCCTCTATGCAAGTAAGAACACCCGTACGATCTATCCAAGTCTTATCCAAATCTACTTGGTACACCCACTGACCCAAACCACAGCATCAAACATCAAAACCGTAAATCCCACCCGATCTCAGGTCCCAGACGAGGCAGGATCTCAGCAACAGTGTTGACATCCTTGTCACCTCGTCCGCTAAGGTTGAGGACAATGTCCTGTTCGCCTTTCTTCATTGTCTTGGCAAATTCAATAGCACCATAGACAGCGTGAGAGGACTCTAGCGCGGGAATGATACCTTCGTACATTGCCAGAGCGCGGAAGCCAGCCAGGGCCTGGGAATCGGTGGCTGCAATAAATCGGGCCCTCCCACTGTCTTTCCAGGAGCTGAGTTCGGGTCCTACAGCTGGGTAGTCCATACCAGCCAAGACAGAGTGTGTCTCCGAAATCTGCCCATGTTCGTCCTGTAAGAGATAGGTGTATACTCCATGAAGGACTCCCTTACTGCCACCGGAGAGGGTTGCTGAATGGCGTGAGGTATCTAGGCCATCGCCACCGGCTTCCACACCCAGCATCTGGACATTTGGCTCGTCTATGAAAGGATAGAACATTCCTGATGCATTGCTGCCTCCCCCGACACAGGCCACAACAGCGTCAGGAAGTTTTCCAATAGCCTGTCGCATCTGTTCTTTCGTTTCCTGCCCAATGATGGACTGGAAGGTGCGCACGATAGTAGGGAAAGGGTGAGGGCCAACAACCGAACCGAGAATATAATGGGTGGTTTCAACATCTTTGACCCACGCACGCAATGCTTCATTCACTGCATCACGCAAGGTACGACTACCAGATGTCACTGGTACTACTTTAGCACTGAGAAGCTTCATCCGGAACACATTCAGCGCTTGACGACGAACATCCTCGGCGCCCATGTAGACAACACATTCCATTCCGAATCTGGCGCAGACCGTCGCAGTGGCCACGCCGTGCTGGCCCGCGCCCGTTTCGGCGATAATTCGTGTCTTTCCCAGTCGTCGAGCCAGTAGGATCTGTCCCAGGGCATTATTGATCTTGTGGCTCCCGGTGTGATTGAGATCTTCCCGTTTGATCCAGATATTCGCACCACCAGTCTTTTCAGTAAGATGTTGAGCAAAGTACAATCCACTCGGCCGACCCATATAAGGATAATAGGAGCGGTATTCTTCCCAGAAGGCCGGATCTTGCCGTACCGATTCAAAGGCCCGGTCTAATTCGGATAAACAGCCCATCAACGATTCGGACACGTATTGGCCACCAAATTCTCCAAATCGTGTGGATGCAACGGGATCCTGCTCGGCTGTGGGGTCCGTGGTGTCCGAATGCGAACCCTCTGAAGTCATCACTTGAGGCCTCGCCCTAGTCAGAGGGGGTTCTAACACAGTGACCTCACGAATGATCGCACCGTGCTCATCACGCTCGAGCTTCCGCCCGGTGATACCAGATAGGTACTTCCCGACGTATTCAGCAGCGCGACCGGGTGGCGCAGCGCCGATGGTACTGATGATCTGACTGCCAATGATACAGCCTTCAGTCAAGGCTTGTACGGATAGAAAGTGTTCTCGTGTACTGATGCCAAAGCCGAGAGCAATCGGTGTGTCGCGGGCATACGTGTGGATGCGGTCAAGAAAATCAGGAAGGTTGGCGCTTAGTGACTGGGAGGCACCAGTCACACCCATCCTCGAAACAGCATAGATAAACGAATCGGCTATGCTGCATAGGGCTTTCATGCGAGAAATAGACGTAGAGGGAGCAATGAGGGGGATATAAGAAAGCCTAGTAAACTTTAGCTCATAACTTGAAAGAGAGGCGAGCATGTACGCACCCATGCGTGGCAGAGAGTCTTCTGAACCGAACGGCTTCCTCAATGGGGAGGTCCACCAGGACGAACCCATGAACGCCCGCCTGCTTGCAGTCGTGCAGCAACTTCTCCTCGCCGTAGCGAATGACTGGATTATAGTACCCCATGAGCAGAACGGGTATCTTTAGTCCCCGTCGTCTTGCTTCTCGCACCATGTCCAATACCCCGGAGATGGTGACACCATTGGCGAGAGCGATCATATTGGCCTCTTGGATGATCGGGCCGTCCGCAATGGGGTCAGAAAACGGCATGCCCAGCTCAATCATGTCTATTCAGTCGTACGGCGTTAAATGTCATGCAAACGTGATTGGTCATGATATATTGATAGCTACTCACCTGCACCGCTGCTTTCGAGACTGAGTAGAATATCTGGGGTCTCTTCGACTGTCGGATACCCAGCGGTAACATAGGCCCCCAGAGCAGCACAGTTCTGATGCTTCGCCTTCGCGAAGGACTGCTTAATATGCTCCATGACAGGTACGCAGTAGGTTGTTCATGTGCAAGGAAGTGAAGGGTCCAAGTTAACAGTCAAGGAATCTCACTGACAAAGACAAACGACTGGAGTAGACATTGCCATAGGGTTTCCGAACTCATTCTTTTTATGTCTCCTCATCTCGAGTCGTGACTCATCGCTACACATTTACTTCGCCTTCCTTCGTCCCCGAAATGGCAACGGCATGAAACCATGGAATATAAGCCGGACTGCCGTTGTGGGTGGGGATATGCCCCGCTGACAAAGCGGACCGGGCGACTCACGCTTTACAGAGCAATTACAATATAAATACTCGGTATGCCGATCGCTCATCTATACCTAACCATACAATCCTACGAACGTACAACTTACAACATGGCCTCTTTCAAGTATCACGCACTTCCTGGCTTTGGAGAAGAGTGTCGCGAGAAATACGGGTTTAGCGATGCCTGCATCATCGGCAATCGGCTGGTCGTCACGGGACAGAGTAAGCAGTGTACCAGAATCATGTCTGAGGACCCAGGGCTAATCAGATTGCAAAGCGGGCATGAATCCTTTGACCAGAGTGACTTCTCCCAAAATTGAGGAGCAAATTGCGCAGGCCTTCAACAACATCAATGACCTGATCATCCACACCCTCGTTCAAGAAGGTCATGCCATTGAGGAGGACAGTACTGGCTGGGATTACGTGGTCAAGCTGCGCGCGTTCTTCGTGGGATTATCCGGCATGCGCGTGGAAGCACGGGAAAATATGGTCCACTACATCAAGAAGTGGTGTCCTCGCCATCAGCCGTTGTTCACCATGGTAGGAATCGAAAGCCTGCCTTTTCCCGAGCACCTTGTGGAGTTTGAAGTTGACGTATGGATTCCTTGATATGGTGCATTCTATGGCCCAATTGCGGTTTTAACCCCTTGTATTCCACGGAGAGTGCGGAATGGAGAGGGCCTTTTTGTACTGAATTACTACAATATTGCTTTCATTTTATGCCATATATTAGTCCTCTCAAATACATCGTAATAGTCCACTTATGTTGGCTGGTAACGTAAACCACAATCGCGCGAGCCACACAGTCAGGCGGGCCACTCTGTAATACTATACAAAAGATCCTTTTTAAACACCAGATATCTCAAGCATGAAGAGTCTAGGGGTGCTAAGTTTTGATATATAGTTTATAAGTAATATAGAGAAACCGCAGACTCTTTGAAAACCCGCTGTAAGTATAAAGTATATATAATAGCATTTTATATTACACTCATGTAAAAGAAAATAGTACTAGAAATCTAAAATAGAATGTAAAGTATTTAATCTTCTATATATATTCTATGTATCGCAAGTGAGAACTTCTCAAACACTGTATTGGCTGATATATAATACATTTAAAAAGCTATCTCTTAGATGGGATAGCAGGGTGGATCGCCTGACTGTGTGGCCGGCTCGACTGTTGGCTACGTTATATGTGGCTGTGGCTCGGTATATGCGTCTAGGCCATGAATATGAATGTTTTCAATCCTCTATGTTGAGTGTTGAATCCAAAAATTCAAAAAGTGGAGACTGGGGAAATAGTCTGTATGAAATTGGCAGAAGGAGGATCATGCCATGTAGTATGTGAACAACCCCAGTCTATAAAGTCTAGCCATACAAGAATCTACACATCCTTAACCCCTATCTACCAACGCACCCTATCCCCGTTATAATTTACAAACTGACCAGATGTGGTGGACTTTGTCGCTGCCTCAATCTGTAACGACGTCAGTAATCCGCAGCTAGTCATGATAGCCAACATCCTGCATACCTGGTTGGTGATCCCAAGAACAGTATCCTGGACGGTCACCGGGGCCTTCTCTAGCCCATTGGCTTGTGCCGCACGACTCCCCATGTCAGTCTGTACCATTCTACCCACCGGAAACAAAACGTTCTGCATCAGCATTTCTTGACTCATGAGTTATGGGAGTGCGAAAGTAAACCTACCCCGGATCAATTGGCAAAGCGATCAAGTACTGATTCTCCGCATCGATCTTCTTTATAAGATAGTTTCCAGCCACCTTCGACATTCCATACGCGGCGGTCAACGAAGGTATCTGTTCAATTTCATGGATACTCGCCAGGAGCGTAGAGATATAAGCAAACTTGGGAGTACTGGCTTTCTGCAGCAGCGGCGCAACGGCTCTGAACAGTCTAAGCAGTCCCAGTGTATTTACTTCAAAGTGAGACAGCACGTCGAAGTCGGTCATGCCTACTACCGGTCCGTAGTGGTTGCAAATGCCCGCATTAGCAATGACAATATCTATATGCCCAACACTGTGCTGCATCTGGATCTCCGATACAGCCTCTATCGCGCCCTGTGGGCTATCAGAGCTCAGCGGCACGACAATCAGGCGAGAGCCTTCGCCCTTTGGCAGCTCATTGAGATCTTTCGCATTCGCAGAGGAGACGTTCCGGGCAGTACCGATAACAGTTGTGTCTGGCTGGGCAAGATAATGTGCCACAAGGCCCTTTCCGATGCCTGTAAGTTGAGTCAGCCAAGGAATGCACTATACTGCGAGGAGTCTCCGCTCACCTCGATTGGCCCCGGTGACGAGGATAACACGGCTCATTGTAAAATATGTGCAATGGTAGTATTGCTCACAGATTCGCAACGTCAGTACTTGGTGAATCGCCGGACTCGGGAAGTCATTAGTGTCATCGGTTCTCGCTGTCCGAGATGTCCGAATTTATATTGTGATAGAGACTGTTCCCACAGGGGGGGGGGAGGAGTCGACCCATTAAGTGCCTCACCTCGGGTTCGGCATCTCCGGATCGGAACCGAGTAAAGATAGAACGGGTGGGGTTGGCGAAGGGTTCAGCAATCTCTTCCCGGACGATGCAGTGGCTCGGAGTCTAATTATGACGGATACGTTGGTTATCCTAGGGGCCTTCGCGCGATACAAATGATCAGAACTCAAAGTCTGTCGGACGGGACGACGGTATCAGATGTCACTAGTTTACGGGTTACAGCTGAGCGTGGTTCGAAATTAGCTCGTCGTGGTTCGAAAAATACGCTAATATTCTGCCACCGCCCTCAAACCATAATAAGGTTTTTCTGAGCATATGCTCAGCGTGGTTTGAATCTAATTTTTCAAACCATAATCACCTGGTTTAAAGAGATCACCTGATCAGAAGTCTTGGCATTCTAAAATAAATTTTTAGCATATACAGAATTAAGATATAATAGAGATAAAATAATAAATCTTTAATTATTTTCTAATTAGATAGTCAATAATACTGTCTGGCTGTATATAACCCTAAGAAATATAATTAAGGATATAATAGAGATTTACTTAATATACTCTATAATTATTATATTATAATTAGTTATCAGGATCTTAAGATATATATCTCTTTTAAATATATCTATAAAATAATCTTCTATATTTATTTATTCTCTTCTCTCTTTTATCTCTATTTCTTATAAGTATATACAGAGTATATCTCTCTTTTTTCTTTTTTATGCTATTTTAGTATATATTAATTAAGATACTGAAATAGCTAATTAGTATAGCTATCTTTAAGTATTATTCTTTATCTTAGCTTATACTCTATATATACTAAAGATAGTTTATACTGTTACAGACTTTAATAATCCCCAGGTCCAAGAGACTGCTAATCTCTTTACTATCAGGAGATAGCACTATGGTTAGTATCTCCTTAGTATATTATACCCTGATATTAAGTGTATATAGATTCTGTTTCTTATATTAATATAGACTAGACTCCTCCTGAAAGTAAGTAGCTTCTAAGTATCAGTATAGTATATATTAATCTTATATCAGGAATTATTATTCCTGAAATTAATAGCCAGGCTCCTAATCCCAGAGAGAGATTCAGTAGAATTAATAGAAAGATATATATATTATACTAGTATATATAAAGTATATACTAACTATAAGTCTAGTTATAATATTATAGTTAATAGTGATCAGATATATAGCTGTTATTTCTTAAGTATAATTACAGTATAGATTTAGATTCAGAACTATATTTATACTATATATACTAATTATATCTAGTACTGCTATTATCTTTACTAGTCCTATCCTGGAGTCTATTAATACTACTTTAGTTAATATAGAGCATATACTTATACTATACAGCTGCTAATCTAAATACTGCTAATATCAGTAACACTAAACTAATAGCTGGTTAGAAGTAAGTAATTATAGTATAGAAATTATATATAATATATACTAACTCTAAGCTAGTGCTCTTAAGTATTAGATTCTGGAATAGAGTTAGAGAAGAGCTAGATATCTCTATAAGTCTAGATTAGTTTAAGTATACTATTAAGTCTATATATTATATATACTAATAATATATAGCTGTAGCCTTCTTAATAGTCTTATTAATAAATATACAGATACTTATAAACAGATTATATAAGTAATTATATTAATATATCTTTTATATATACTGAATATATTTTAGCTATATTAATACTTTCTTCTATACTATATTTAAAGACTGCTTTTACTATAATCCAGTAAGTATTTATCTAGTATATCTCTAGTATATACTAACTAGCAGTAGATTATACTTTCTCTATTATTTAATTATTATAAGAGAAATATTAGTATTAGTCTACTTTATATTAGATATATACTAATCTTATAGTGTAGTCTTATCTCTCCTAGTACTTCTGAGCCTGAGCCTAAGCCTGCTTTCTCAGTTAAGAAGATAGATAAGCAGTTTTATCTAAGTTTTAACTCTATATATACTAACTATACTATAGCTACTAGAGATAATTATAAAGATAAGAATAGAATATCTGCTAAAAGAGCTATATAGTATAATTATATATAGATAATATCTATATTAGCTATATACTACTACTAGGCTATATATATATATAGAATAATAAAGGATTTTATCAGGAAAAATAAATTATATAAACTTTAAAATTTAGTATAAGTAGATTCTAGATAAAATTATTATCTAAAAAACTTACTATATAATTAAAAATATAAAATAGATTTTTTTTCTCTTTTCTAGTTAAACTCTTATTTAAGTATTTTAATTTTTTTAATTATTTTTCTTTCTTTTTTCTTCTACTTCAGTATTTTTAATCTCTGGCTTAGACTTTCTATATACTCAGTATATATCCTGTTTTTAATAATCTCTATAGATTTCTTATATTAATATCTTTTGGATACTAGTACTGGCAGAGATAATATACTACTGCTATCTAAATATACTAAGCTAGGATATTATATATATTCAGTAATTCACCTTTAGGGGCCGCCGTATCTGGAAACGGCCTCGCCCAACCCGGAAATGCCGCCCCCGACCGCCCGACCCCTCGCCGCTATAAATCCGATGGCCGCCCGCCCTCGTAACGGTAATGTTTAGTTTTCTCATTCAATCTTACGCCCCGTCTCAGTTCGCCGCAGCCTCCCACAGCGTCACTTCCCTGCGGACATTGCGCGCAATTTCCTCAAAGCACATGTTTGGAACAGGGTTATTTTCGGCTCAGCTCACTTTTTGTGAGTGTCCCCCTTATTCAAAGGGCTACGTTACTGACAGTGGCTTCTCAGTCACAACATTTTGCTCACATTTTGACTATCAACTTTAGCTTTCTTCCGCAGCGAGTATACAACTGTACTAGCACAACCCCTCCACCAAAAGTTGATTGGGGTTCTCACTTTGCCCGCTAGCTCTGTTAGCTTGCGTGGCAATGATTCCAGAAGCCTGGCTCGCCAGGCCTTTGCAGGGATATTCCCTCATTGCCCACTATCGTTCAGCTGGAGCTGGAAGGCAACAGCCTCATCCCCCTTTCTCGTGGAACACGGACGGATGACGTGTACGCTGCTGCCTTCTGCTTATAGCCCAGTTAGATGTGATTGGGTTCAATGCTGTTGGACCCATAGGCAAAGGGGGAAATATTGTCATGCGCAAGTGTTCGGTGTTTCGAAATCTTCAGATTAAAGGCTATGACATCCGTGATAGCCATTCTAGATCGCGCCGAAGTGGAACCTGCTATCCCGTGTTGATGGGGAGAGACATTGAAATGATCATGTGGGTTGTCAGCGTTGCATCCCGTTATCAGGTGTAGGATGAAGCCTGACCTCGTCGCCCATTTAGGTAAATGTTCGATGTTCAGTGATTGGCGTCGACCTATTAGCTGATACTCAGCATTTTCCTCTTTTGTGGACCCAAGCTGTCCTGACACAATAGTACAAAAGGCCTATCCCTTGTCCTGCAAGTATTATTGGTTTTTGCTCCACTTGTGACCATTCCTTTCTTGTCGACTCTGGAAAGTCTTCTTTGAGCCAATGCCGTGGTCAATGCTGAGCATTTCTATTTTCGACAATATCAGCGAGCAGGTAGTCTGGTAAATGAGGCAGTGAGCGATATCTAAGCGTCAAGCTTAATTCGGCAATCCCGGTTAGCATACTTTTCCCTTCGCAACGGCTTGCCTAGTCTACTGTTTTGCCACTTTTCGGAATTGGACGGTCTTGTGAGTCCCTTTAGGAGGGTTTCTCCAAATCTCAGTTGGCCAAATGAGGCGCCGTCATTAGCCCCGTCGAGATAGGCCGGCAGCCGCGTTTACCGTCCTTATCCTACTGGACTAGATGGTGGTGTGCTTCGGAGGTGTAATGACGGCTAGGGCCATTCCTCTGCCAACAATTGTGATGGGTCCGAACAATGGTGAGCTTGCTTCTGCATGGTATAGGAGACATAAATAGCCCGACCGGAGACCTGTCCTTCCGCTCCTGATCCTCCAACATTGTGTATCCTGTTGCATTGCCTGTTTACTTAGGTCATATTCCATATAATCAATCCTGAACATGAGTACCTTTCTTTTCTATAAGCCAAATTCCAACCCAGGTCGCTACTCCAGAAAGGAGCGTTTCAGTTTACGCCATACTGCGCTATCAGACAATGCGTTGAACGATGGGTCAAATCTCGCTATGAAGAAACCAACCTACCCTGAACCTGCGTGTCCCAGTGTTGGCAATGAGCTTGACCTGAGCATTCGCAACTTGCACTGCAGTATGTGTGCACCGCTAGAAGGATCTTAGATTTGAGATGATTTCATTGACATTAATGATAGCTCAGTCAATATCTACATGTGCGGAAACCCTGCCACAAACTTCAGGTGAACAGGATGCTTGCAGAACATCTATTGATTATGATCTGGATTCGCTGCACAGCCTCTTCTCCGCACCGGATACAGACTCGGAAAGCAATATCGGTGTAGCCGAGTCAGATGAAGTACATCCTGCAGGATTGGGGTTAGCCTCTATCAAAGATATATCTCCTAGCGAATCCGGTTATAGTGCACAGATTTCCAAAGGCGATGCCCCCCATACAATAGATTTTGGATCTCCCAATTCTCTACAAAGGAATTGCCTCGAACAGGGGAGCTGGGTTGGCCGTGACTCTTGCATAGCCTCTGAACCCTCTGATCCCATGCCCGCCTTAGCCTCCCACTCCGCAAATGTCTCACCCTCACCAATCCTACAGCCCATGTACGGCTCCTCTATCGAGTTAACATCTTCTCTCGCGCTTAATGAGCATCTGGAACGGGCCGAGGATCTTGTACCGAAATCGGGCGGCGATATACTCGGCGCGGAAACCTCTAGTGACAAGACATCTCCAAAGACAAGTTATTTGGAAGCTCAGGATGATATTTCCCTTCCTCATAGTAAGTGCCAGGACTATAGCTTCATGAACTTAGTATTGATAACTATAAACAGATGGAGAGACACATGGAACAAGTAGTGCCGATCTTGTTCCAGACCCTCCCCAAAGCGGGACAGTTGCTCCTGCTCCCTTTTTTGTGGAGGAACGCAATCTGTCAACTGAAGGAAGCTCCAGACCAGCACCGCAGGCTAGCTCCGGTTCACCTGATATGTTTGGTCCATCTCTTTGGCAAGAGAAACAGCCTCATGATGGCTCGTGTCACCTTGACATTGATTGCATTGACCCCACAGACTGCATTGCTATTCCCGAGTTGGATAAATCAATTATTGAGAATAGACCCGGACCCTCTGGCCTCACCAATACCGCGGCTTCGCAGCGGTGTATAGACATGGAGGTGCAAGACATGCCGCATAATCCTGAAGAGGCACCGAACGGCGTTGAGAAGACGTTGAGTACAGCTGCTTCAACGGACCCTTACGAACCTGATACCCAGACACAGCCAAGCCAGCAGGCATGTTTTGTTCGTGATGCCAGTGATTTTCCTGCCGATCCCACGGAACTGCCCTTGAGCAGCGTTCAAGGTCCGCGGAAGTACTATGAATTCTCTCATGTAGAGATCCGGAACCCTCGCCCTTCAAAGATGGTCAGCCCTTCTGTTGAGACTCAGAGAGATACTGTTGCCAGTCCAGTTTCGAGCTGCCACCATCTCCCGACCACTGAAGGGCCGTGGCATTTGAATGGAACGATTCTTTCCATCGACCTCCGGCATGCTGACTTTCCTACCCGCTTCGGCAAGTCCACCTTTCGTGTGTTTGGTGGCCAAGTTATCCAACTTCTTACGCTTGTTCACGGACCCATCAAAGCGTCACCTCCAAAGACTGTTCCTGGTGCAAAGATTAGCACAAAGAAACGGAAACTTAACCGTCCTGTCCCGTCTGCTGGCCCCCTTTCATCTGAACAGAAGCAATGCCTTCTGCGGTTAAGGGAGGAGGGTTATACATGGAATGAGATCGCGGCCAGGTTTCCAGGAAGAAAAAAAGGCACGCTTCAAGCTACCTATTACACAACATTGAAGAAGCTGCACCCCTCATCTTGTCTACCCCAGCAGCGCTCCAGACGATTTCCAACGGAGTCCCGATGGTCCCATAGCCCATCACAGAGGCTTGGACATACACGATATAGTCTGAGGTCAAGGGGGAGTGCGGTAAATTAACAAGTATTGGCCGATGGCTCATCCTTCAAGACGAAGCCGGTCACCCGATATTGGTGGTAGCTGTTGCAACATAATAACAGACCAAAACCACGATCCAGTAGACGTTGTGCGTCTTCTGTACTGGTGACCTACCTTGTTTTATCTGGCGGTTCTCGGTATATCATGCTCATAAGAGAGGTGAGGAAGCTGGTCTGGGGCATCAGAATGATCGACAAACGTATGAGACTCTAAGATCACCAAGCCTATGCTTCGCTGCTCTGCCTGACCCATCCAGTTCATGCTCTTTTTTGCTTATTAGCATCTTGTATATAGTTTAGCGGCCTCCATTGTACAAAAGCGATCATTTACATGGACTTGTCACATCATCTTGCCAGCGCTGCAGCGTTATGCTCAGATTATGCGAATTATACAACATTTGTACTGTCGGATCAAGGTATGCATCAAATAAATTCCACGCGATAAGTTTACTTGCCGTTCACGCAAAATGGTCTGGATATCCTATATGTGTTTTCCCACTTTGTATTTCTGCCTCGGGTTGTCCGCTACGGTGGGCCATAGATAAGAATTGGATATTGCGGAGTGGCCGCTATGGCCTACCGTAGGGCCGCCTTTGGCGAGCACGGATGTAATGAAATGGTTCTTTTCTCGGGTAGAATTTCTATTTGGGCCCGGCTGTTCGGAGTTAGTGTTTATCCCGGCCCTTACGTGTTAGTTCCCAAACACGCCTCCTACGTTTTCCCAATCGGGAACTGCTGCCTATCACCGCCGCCGCTTGTACCTTGGTCTTAAGGCCCAGTACATTGGCCAATCAACTTGTAGAGCACCTTTCAATTCCCAATTACGTCATTTCCTGTAGACGCCGCCTTTCCAGTAAAAACATCTGACCTCTCTGTCTCTAAGAGATGGAAGAGGCATCTATTCTTAAGAGATTGTCTAAGCTGATTTGAGTCATCCTTCATCCTGGAAATTCATCAATGGCGTACCAGTTTATGCTCGCCGACACTGCGAATTATCAAGGTCATTTGACCGTGCGGTACTGAGCAATTCAAGTTCACCTGTACAAGGGGACAAAGAAACCATGATGCACAATCACCATTAATTAACTGAACTAATTTACAAACAAGCCCAACCCCGAATGGCGACGCTCGCGGATTAATAAAAAGAAAAGCATACCCTTGAAGGGGGAGGGAAAGATCCTCGAGATACTCAGAGGACTGTGTCGGGGTCTATTTCTCATACTTCTCCCTAGGCAGTATCCTATTCACCCCGAAGACTACGAAGCGCGGCCTGCACGCATTCGAGAGCTTCCTTCAGTGCATCCTCCGCAGTAGTCAGGCAAGCGATACCGGAACAGATTGAACTATGCAGCTCATCAGGACGGATGCGGGCACCAGGCGGATCCCGAAGAGGCCCCTCGAGGTGGAAGAAGTGCATGGAGTTATCAAGACATGCGCGAGTTTCATTGACATGCTCAGAGGTCTCACGGAGAAGGGCTTCAATGACCGCTACAATGGAATCAAAAGCATTAGACAAAGAGGATCACCAGGAAGGATTAGCACGAGTACTCACTATCCACAAGACAGCCAGGAGCGGACAGCTCCGGACCAGTCAGATCAATAACCTCGCGACGGTCCATCTTACAGAAAAGGCTAGGCCAAACTACAAGGTTAGTATCTTCACTAAGTCTCTGTCAAGGCAAGATATCAGGCTGAGACATGCCAAGCTGGCTAGATAGTCACAGGGAGGGACAACTCAGTCTGCTTAGATATGAAAAGATAACGTTGATAAAAGGCTGATGGTTGTCGAGATAGATGCTAGTAGATCTAGAGATAAAAATATGACCACAAGGAGAAAAAAAGGCCTGCTTTTAACCCTCGCTTACAGTAGTAACACTGGGAACTCGCGGCCAGCGGAAGCGAGATAACTTGTGACCATGGCAGTTCATTCACTGATCCAAAATTCGCCAATGAGATCGCTCAATGCCACCCGCTGATGCGATGCCCAAGCCCACCGACACTGCCTAAACCACATGACAGACTGACATCTAACCATTCGCTTCTTTGGCATGGATGCCAAAGAATACAGGACCTTATACCAACAATAAGTGCAACATGTCACTTTGCCATTGAGGGGGTAGACCAAAACTGCATAGAAGGGATCTCGCCCCCTCGACTGGAGTCCAGTTCGTAGCCAACCGTTCTCTTTTCAGATACTCGCATATTCCAAAACCCCCTTTCCAGCCTTTAACGTGTGCCTGATAATGACGACTGCCCCATCTCCGTTGATCTTAATGACGACAGTGTCGAACTATCCAATAGCACCGGTGGCGATACTATCCCAGGAACCCCAAGTCATCGCGCGCAGATTCCTACGTGCTCTGGCAAGAAGGACACTACTCATGTGAATCGAAGCTTCGGAGACTTTGAATCAATGTCCATGGATGGCGATAGAGCTCAGACAGCGCGCTCCGAAACTGCTGAATGCGTAAACCCGTCTTGCAAGTCCCAGGGCAAATAAAAGACGAGCAGGTTCCGAAACGCCACATGTGTCACAGAAGCTGAAGAGAGCTAGGCAGATGTAGATCACCTAGCAAGATCCTTTCCAAAGCGGGCCTTGTTCCAAGTTAGAGTCGCGCCAAGGCATACGATCCTCGTAGAATTTCATTTGTAGCCCGCACGGAGTCGCTTTCGTCTGTGTTCCTCTGCTCTGCACAAGAGCTTCTCGCGTAATCTCATTCGCTTTTTTGTCGGTCGGACATCTAATTTCGAATGATGGAAGTCGATGATCAAAACCCGACCTAGCTCAGTATTCCACAGGAGATTATCCGGCCGAAGATCCTGATGCAAAACCCCCAATGAACGAATTTTCTTCTGAGACCGCAAAATTTCACGCCTGATCGCCTTGGTATGATTTATCTTACTAATGGGCTCACCACCCCAAGCCATGAGTAGCATATGGTGGATCTGTCCAGCCCCATGTAGAAAGTAGATCTTGGCCAGGTCGATTGCACCGAGGAAAACAGGGACTGCAGACCCTTGTACTTGCCAAAGTATACAGTAAATATCCGCTTCACGTTTTACCTTGTTCCAGAGATAGGCCGTAGTCCCTTTACCGACAACCGTATACCCATATGTAGTGCAGGTGATCTTGAAGGGCGCTCCAGATGCCCCACAGCCTCCTATCGGCATGCAGTCGCGATCAAGATTTTCATCCAGCTGCTGTTTAATCTGCTGAACCAAGCTCTTGGCGTCGATCAGGTGTCGGCTGCTGGTTCTACCCTGCTGATGGAGCATAATATTTGGGCAATCATCATCTAGCTGGCCTCCTTGTTGTAGGCCAAGTAGGCATCGCTGGGTACAAAATTGAGCGCTGTGTTGATACCGACCGCTTTCATTATGTCGGGACCCCGTCTGACGTGCTGATCGTTGCACCGATGGAGATAATGGAGATGATGGAGACGATGTGACCTGGCTGAAGCCACGCTTCCGCCCACCGGGAGCAGGGTCCGTATCGGAATCAGGTGAATTGTCAGGGTCTATCGTATTTGGCGCACACTGAGCTCGAGACCGTGTCGGCATTCCACGGCGCTGTGTAGAAGATCCAACAGGCGAGGACGACAGGAGATACTCCGAGATAGTGCGCGCGGAGCTACCAGAGGGACTATATTCCGAGCCCAGTGGGTTCTGTCATAATTCTCTTTCCGGGATTTGGGAGCGAGTGTGATCAAAACTTGTCTTCCAGAGAGGTAGCTGTGCCTGTGCATTATTTCGCCATACCTGGTCGCGAAATCGCGCGCTGAAGCTCATTAGACACAGACACAAAACCCGTGCAATGGCCGTCAATGGCTGCTCGAAGCTGCAGTTATCATCAGGATCGATCTCCATGTTTGGCTCACATAGATGGTAATATAGGGTGCTCGGTTCATCGTAAGGGACGTGTAGCAGAACCAACGCAAATCCATTAGTCAAATAGGAGAACTTGAGCCCTTCCTGAATCATTACATGGTACTCTTGGGTCACAGCGGATCCTGTCAGCCGGGCTGCATTATATTTCAACTTTGTGGGCTCTTCAGTGGGGACGGAATCAGGCTGGACTATCTCTTCCCAAAAATTCATCGGTTGCAGTCCTGCATAAAGGTTCTCAACGGATAGCTTATGAGGTGGCTTATACTCAACCGTTGTCAAGAGGGTACTGTTATCTCCATCGACTCGGTGAATGCAGAACTGATCTGGTCGGGAACGCCGGGAACTTGACATCCCGTCCAATTGAGAGTTGTTGGCTTCGATGGGATTGAGAGCGTTTGTATGATTGTCAAACCAGACTTCATCACCCAGGCCAAATTCATCTCAAGCAGCCGGTATCTTGCAGAGCTCAGTGATAATGTCATGAACATGGTCCTCCACGCCAAATTGTTCATAGCTCTCTCGATCTTGTTCACTGCTTAGTGCCCTTTTATTAAAACGTTTTCCAAAACCTTCCAGCTCAAGACGTGGCGGGAACAGCTGTGCCGCAGCCTCCCCTGGAGGTGCGAGATAGGTGCAAACAGAACGGAAAAAACCTCCTATTGCCTAGTGGCACAGTCTTCCCAAGGCAGAAGTTGTAACGGACAGCATTTCCCAGTGGGCGGCGGGATTTTTCCTGTTGTGGATCGGGACGGAGTTGCGGCTCGTAAAGGCAGCGAGAAAAGGGTATGGCAGTGACGAAGAAGTTCTCGAAAGGTCGTATGTCGCGTTCGTTCCTCCACTTCCCTCCTCAGCTCTGCTTCCCACCTTCTTTCTTCCTCTGCCTTTCGCTGGTTTTCCTCTGCTTGTTTTTGTTCTTCCTCTGCCTTACGTTGGCTTTCCTCCGCCTGTCCCCTTAACTTCGCTTCCCGCTGTCGCTCTTCCTCTTGCCTTTTTCCGTTCTTGCTCCGCCTCTAAGAAGAGCGCCTTGTAATCCGGTGAGCTGTTGCTAGCCATATACTCTATGTGGATGTGGAGTTGGGGGTGATTAAAGAAGCTTCATTTTAATAGAGTCAAGGGGAGGAGAACGGACAAGCTGAAAAGAGATGGGTTGTACGTGTTTGTGTCAGCTGACCATGAATTCGGCTAATGTTTTCTTGCATAAAAATAAGCCTGCCCATTGGACCTGTTAAGGCTTCCTCGAACTTGTAATGTTAATTAATGAAGAAAACATATGATTCCCACATTTAGAATCCAGAGAAAATCCCCGGGGACCAAAGCTCTACGGTCTTCTTTTCTGGTCAACACTCATGTATTTGAACAATCCTGATCCTCGGGTCGCCACGGGATTGATTGCTCCATCCGCTAATTATAATGCTAAACTTATTTCGGATGGGGTTGTGGCCCACCCAATCAGCAAGAAAACGTCTATTATTAAGTTTCCTCATGATTCGGAATATTTCTGTATGTAGTTCCATAACTTATTAACTAGTTAGTTAGATAACTAGTTAAATATTATTGTGTTAGTCAGCTAATGCCAAGTCTTTGCCAACAATAGTATGACAATTCAACTGTTAGCTTTAATAGTGAAAGTTATCGAATTTCGCAGTAAATAAGCTTACTGCCAGCAACTGATCTGATACTGTTTGCACTGGTGTTTTTGTATTAGACATATTTTAGAGCCGAAAATATTAATTACTTCATGTGGGCGACTTAAGAACTATACGCAGCAACTATCGCGAGTTGGGCACCGGGGTATATTGTTCTATTTTGCCCCACCTGGATCACCCCTCCTTCCCGCCGAAGTTATCTTTTTGAGGGACTCAAATTGACAATTAACCTCGCACTTCTTTCGCCTACAAGCCCACCCAATCGAGGCCAACTTTCACACACATCCTAGTGCTATTTTTTCTTCACTTTGCACTGTTGTCGATAAGCTAATCGACAATGACAGGAAATCTTGACTACGAAATCATACGTGGAGCTATTCCCAAAGTACTGGCCCAGAGGACTGCGGATGCGCTGCAAAAACAACCTAAACATCCACGGGAGAAGTACGACGCTTTCGAAATACCTCCAGTATGCTCTGAAGTTCGAGATACATTTCTTAATGTAATTAAAGGAACATAACATCCATGAACTGCTACTAATCAGCAATAGAACGCAGAAAAACATGTTCTCTCCCGGATATGCCACCCAAAACCAGTTCCTTCGCAGCCTGACCACATTTTTGCTGGCATATTCCGCGAGACTGTCGCCGATCCGAAAAAGCTGAAAACAGCAGAGAAGGGTGAAATATATGTCACAATCGCTCTTACACCACTCTCCCCGGCAAACGGTTGGTACACATTCTACCGAGGCGCAAGAGCAAATCAATCCGCTCCGACTATTGAAACTCCGAAAGATGCTCTTAATCTTGATATTGGGGATGCCGTGGTATGGAGAGGTGACCTAATTTATATACATTCTTCGGGTGGTGGTGGCATGTTTCAGACAATCGTTTACCAGATAGATTAATGGCCTTGACGGAGATATGACGAATAATCACGACATTTGGCGATATACTCATGACAGGAATAGCTCTGTGCAACCATTGTTGTATTAATATAAACAAAATGTACTCTATCGACACCATAGCCCGTGCGTCTCTGAAAGGATAAATATCACGGATAAAGCACATATAATCATCTCTTAATGTGATATAGGAACTGTCATGTGCAGGATAGGATTATAGTTTTGGTCCCAATTTCCTAGATTAAGAAGAGTCTCACCTGTTTCTTGTAGTCTCGCATCGTAGTCTTTGTCCCAATTCCCGAAGGGTAATGATCCTGCGGGCGTGGGATTTTGGGAGCCGAAACAAGATAAATCTGGATTGTAGTTTTTGTCCCAATTGCCTAAATTGAGAAGGGTTTCCGATCTTGTTCTTTGGGATCTCGTATCGTAGTCTCTATCCCAGTTTCCAAAGAATAGCGATTCCGCACGAGTGGGGTTTTGTGAACCTAAAGCGGATAATTCCGGGATATAGTTCTGGTCCCAGTTACCCCCATAGAAGCTTTCGGGAACAGATGTCTTTGATTGTGGTTGCTGGTTGCATGATGGCATAGTACAGTCTTGGGCCCGCTCCGCTGGAGCAAATGCTGATGATGCCGAAAGCTGAAGCTGGTGAGAAACTTAAAAACCTGTTAGCTATACCTATAGGGGTTGATTTATAAAGGGGACTACCATTGCTCAAGTTGGAAAGCCCATTGCCCCTGGCTTCCCAGCCCTCAGAAAGGGAGGAGGCATGCAGTGGTTGGTACACTGTTGCACTTGAGCCTGTGCCTCCGCGCGAATCATCTTGGGGTTGGGGTATATCCGCGGTTGTACCTTGGCAGTTCATCTGAAATCCGTCACTACCGGTCTCTCCCGTGTTGACTAGTGGACTTGGTTGCCACATTGTTTCTGACGCAGGTCGACTCAGTTCCGTTGGCCAAGTATTCAGTCCAGCTTGATGTTTAGATCCAAAATCTGTCGCTTGAGATTGAGCTTTAAAAGCCTACTAGTGGACATTGTCTATCTGCCCGGCACAAACTTACCTGGAGGTGCGTTGATTCTGAGATTTCTCCCTGTACCCCAGTGATGTGTCGTATTACTTGACGAATCAGTTGGGGCATCTGCGGTAGACGTACGGACTGCGATCTGACTGCTAGGATGCGCCTCGTTGATGTGACCTCTGCTTTCGTAATCGGGCAGCTTCAGAGAGTCACTAGACTGTTGGTGACAATTGAAGTATTCTACAAGTTGTTGTCGACCGGCAGGGGACGTGGTAGTAAACTCATTGTTGCTGTTGTCGTCTATCTGAGTTGAAGACGATTCGGCGCTTTGGGTATTGGGAAGTAGTGATAGTTGATAGTCTGGCAGCCGAGGATTGTGAGATACTGGGTCGATCATGAATATTAGTAACAAGGGCTATTGTATTATATATAGAAAGATGCCTACCGAGGGCTGTGCTCAAACTACTATCTTTGCTGATATTCCCGCTCTGCGTAGCTCTGGGTAATAAATTATCGGGTTGTTGAGTTGTCCAAGTTGGATTATTGCCGTCATTTTCGCTCGTAGTGTGTTGCGACCCGGGTACTGAAACGCCCTCGAGCTCGGTATTGGAGTCTGTAGCGATGGCGAGGCAGTTGTGGTTCGTTGACGCGGTGCCGGTTGTGTTCTTTAATTTTTTTCCTGTGAAAGAGGTCAGAAGCGTTCTCAAGATAGGTGGGCTGTAGCATACTCGGCTTTTCGATCGCAAATCTTGTCCGTTTATTCGTATTGCCGGTGCTATTGCCAGGAGCTGTAATGTTGCAGATGTTATCGTGGGTAGTTATTAGGTTGTAGATATTTTGGTAAGGAGTTGTAATGAGTTTCTCTTCGAGAGTCTTAGACACGAAGCTCCCTACGTCTATCAAGTGATACTTGGTCACAATCTCCTTGATTCCAAGTCTAAGAAGAAGATGGGCATTCCTTTCAATAGTGCCACGATTTTGCCTATATGAATAGCTAGGTATTGTTAGTAGTGGAAGATAGACAAAGATCGAGAAACATACGTCCCCTCAGGCACAGACTGCGGCAGAGCAGCAAGGAATCCATCACCACCAAGACACTTAGCCCATGCATCATAGTTGCGACCTTCTTGAACAGCCTTTTCAAATTCTCTCTGATCAAAACCTGGCCATGTTTTGACATCTGGATATCGACGTTTAATGTCATGCACAAGTGTCTCGCACCCATATTTGCTCCACTTTTTGCCTGTATGATAGCCATTGTGAAAAGCGCTTCGGAACATGCTCAACTTCTCGAAACGGCTTTTGATTATGTTGATCTCGACAGTCGTCTTCCTCTGCTCGAGTTTACGGATAGCTATACCCCAGTGGAATCCTTGGAAGATTTCGGGCTGATCCGTAAAAAAACTGTCATGATCAGATTGCCACTGCTTAAACGTCCTTTTTAATGAAGACGTTATTTCAACATGGGATAGTAATTGTATCTTATTGATTCTCAACTCAGTGTTCGACTCAGCGTTCGACTCAGCGTTCGACTCAGCGTCCGACTCAGCGTCCGACTCAGCGTTCGACTCAGCGTTCGACTCAGCGTTCGACTCAGCGTTCGACTCAGCGTTCGACTCAGCGTCCGACTCAGCGTCCGACTCAGCGTTTGACTCCGTGTTCGGGTCTGTATTCGAGTCTGCATTCGACTTCGTCTTCTTCCTCGGCTTTCTGTACACAAACAAGCTATTTAGAAACAGTTTTTTCTCATTCGAGAGGCTATTGAAACGACCACGAAAATCTGCTTTGGGAATTGTATCGCGGTTGTTTTCCAAAAGTTGAAGCAGATGGCCCAGGATTCTATCGAACTCGATCAAAACAGTATTATTCGACGATGATTCCATAACTGAAAAGCCGACTGATTCCAAACAGAATTGTTCTTCTGTCAGCGGCTTGTCGGTGAGATGTGGGTGAATAGAACAGCGGCAGTCATCGCGCCGTTACCCCTCTCTCTAAAACATCCCTGCACCTCCTGCATACGCACTATACCCCTTTCACCAGAATGTTGATATTTGGGGGATCAAATATCAACATTCTGGTGAAAGGGGTATAGTGCGTATGCAGGAGGTGTGTAGCAGAGTCTCTGCGAGTGATGCTTCACTTTCACCCATACAATCGATCATCCCTCCCGTAAATCTAAGTAAATCTAAAGTTGGCAGATATGGTCTAGAACCGCTTTTCACGATGGAGCAAGGGATAAAGGGCAATGGTATTCCCCTATGCTCCTTCATCTATTCAAGCAAACGCCTACGCTGCATCTTTCCATCCGCCTGCCATGTGCTCCTACACGTCTGCCAGACTACTGTATCGTGGATGTACTCGGGATCCACCCCATACTTTCGCAAAGCACTATTACAAAAGGTGTCCGCAGGCCGTGAACACTGGCGTATTTTGTACCGACGCTGTCTTTGATCCGTCCCTTGGTATGTTTGGAATTACAACCCGGCGCGGCACTTGTCCTAGTGACCGAGACTCCGGTATCTCCACAAACACAGTTGTCGAGTCCGTATGTTTATCTGTTCCATCTTCTCTTATCTCTCCGGATTTCCATTAATTTGTTGACAGGATATCCTGGACTAAGGATGATGAGACAATCTCATATATGCAAGGTCATATATGCAAGGTTTCGCGAGGAGGGAAAAGCAATAGGAACTATGGGTCTTTTGTTGCGTGTTGGATGAACACGGATCTAACTTGTTTGGTTTGATTTGTCGTTGACACGCGATTAAAGGGGTTGGGGGATAGATTAGGCTACGCTTTTCTAAGTAGGAGCTAAGTGGCTGTGGCGCCGGATTAGAGATCGGGCCGAACCCTGCTTCCTAGATATTTAGAGATCAATCCATCCCCATCCAGATCTGAATCTCTTAGTAGCAACATCTTTTATTAACTTTTCTCCCTAAACGTTATGGATAAGGCTTCTGTTGGGCCTAGTATACCTGGTGGACAAACTCAGCCTTCATTGATCGCTATAGGGACAACAAGTTCAGTTTATGCGATTGATAGCTGTTTTGTCCTGAAACGTCGCCCTAAACCATCCGACGATTTTGCTCACCTGGCCTATAACATCGAAATCCGCGCTTATGAACGGTTGGGTAATCATCCACGAATCGCAACCTGTCGAGAAGTAACGGAAAATGGCATAATCATAGAGCGCGGTGAATGTCTACGCAAGAAAATACAGAGCGAGGGACCAAAGACGACAATGCAGACCAGACTACGATGGGCCCGAGAGGCTGCAGAGGGCTTGCGCTACATACATCATAAAAATATTATCCATGCTGATGTTGGTTGTCATAATCTACTCTTGGATCGGTCGGGCCATATAAAGTTTATTGACTTTGCTGGCTCTGGTATCGATGGAGAAGCTCCTTTAGTATGCTACGAATGGTGTAGCTATCGGCCGGGATCGGAACCTGATATCAAAACAGATATGTTCGCCTTCGGCTCGACCCTTTTTGAAATAGAGACGGGTAAGAAACCTTACCACGACTTAGAGAAGACTCTTGAGACTGGACAATTAATGAGAAGAGTGGAGCATCTTTTTACTGTGGGGCAGTACCCCAGAGTAGATATGCTCATACTTGGTGGCGTCATTTTACGTTGTTGGAACGGATACTATAGCTCAATGGATGAAGCCATGAGAGATATAGACGCTTGCTGCCAGGATAAGCATGGTAGAAGCAAGATCACATCTCGTGGCTTTGGGCAATGTGTTTTATTTTGATGTATTGGTATTTGTATATTACAGAACGTTCGTCGACGTTTGCGGAGGTTTCTTACCGGGAGACAAATTACATATGGCACTTGTTTATGATCTAGTAGTGGATAGTTTAAGGGGACCATTTATATGTGTTAACGACTCTGACACGGTTAGGTCAAAGTACGTGTTTTCTTCCTGTTACTAGCCCCTTTTTTTGGCTATGCGCTTACTTGCTATCAATCGTAGCGATTAGGTGGCTGATAGATCGCATCAGTTATAAGTATAGGTCATAGAAATCCAGACCAGGCCGAGTGGCACCGTTGCCATCTTCTACAATCATAGAAACATGCCAGGTAGGCAAGAACACAGCGCGATAACTCTATTTTGGATTGACTGGTCCAGGATCAACAGAAGCACGAATTATCGAACCCTCATTTCGAATTCAACATGCAACAGCTGACCAATACCAACTTGGAACCATGGCGCGCCGTTTGTTTCTCCCTCTTGAAACGCTACTGTCCGGTAAGGAAGGGATCATTGCTCTTCTCGAATACGGAGAAATCACACGAGCTTTTCCCGGTCTGTGGAAACTCCTTTGGCTGGGGGAGGATTGGTCACTGCAGCAGGCAATAATCATTAGCTTTGAAGGTGATCGGGCTATTCTGACATATGAATTCAACACAATCAAGGTACCGGAAGAAGCGTTGCGTAACTCTTACGCCGGTAGTATGCTTCTGGACCCAAGGAATGGTTGTAGGGCGGTTATGGCTAAAGCGCTCTATGCTGGGATACGAAAGAACCTCGGCCGCATCGTTGGACATATGGCGTGGATGATTCGCCAGTGGTTGTAGCGGTTGCCTAACGGATGATGTACGTAGCTTCTACATAGCTATTAACGCACAGTGGAGATAGCACTTTGCGTTGGTGAAAATACTAGATCCTACTTGCTGATCATCAGTCGGTTGACGGTAAAGATTATGGCTTCGTTCTAGACTATCTAGAACTATGGTCTGTTCTATGAGTGACTTTCGGGACCATCTGAAGAAGAATACTCGGGTCAAACTGGACTTGCTGGTCTGATAGTGTCAGTGATCGATTATAAGGACAAGCATTGCTCGACTGCTCACCGCATGTTCTCTCCAGCCGGCTGATTCTGAATATTACTATCATTTTTCATTTGGTTTGCTCCTGTTTTCGACCAATCTTCGACGCGAATTCCAATCCTTTCCATTATGGCTTGCTTAAACCTTCTTCACTGGATCGAAATGTCTTGGTTATCTGCAGGTCTGTTTCCTGCAGTACGCCGTGATCCGAACTGGAAGACACGTACATCTTCCGGTAACGAAGAAATCCACCAACATGGATATACTCCGCCTCAGCCCATGGCCAATAGTACTGTATCTCCACCATGTAAAGCTCGACTGCGTTCGCGGAGAAGCATGCATTCATTCTCAAGGCTTTCCGAATCCTGGCGAGCCTGCTTTCCCATATCCACCAATGAAATTGTTTCAAAATGCCAGGATGACAGTCCACTTTTATACCAGCCTACGAAACAGCCGGTACGAAACATTATCGAAGTCGAGAAAGAGTTCGGGATATCTTTTTTCAGAGACTACCGCGGTGTCGATGACACAGAGAACGAGCTTCTTATGGTGTTCTCAGCTCGGTTCCAACATTCCCCAAAAAAGGTCCATTTAATATCCTGCCCACGGGTTATTCGTGCCAACAATCTTGACCCAGATGCTCAGAATTTACTCCAAGTCAAGCTCGACGCTGTGGTGGAACGTATACCCGATTCAGAATGGAACAAACTCGAGAAGCGTTATAAGATTGCTCGGAAGAAGTGGCTTGTTATCTCTAGTATGTCGGAGGGCGTTTAGGATTTTATAAAAACCAGCTTAATCAATTCACTTGGACGCGATCCTCTACCGGGTGGCCAGGTGTAGGATTGTATTTATTTGTCTCTCCTAATACATATATACCCAAAATCTAAAATCAAAAACCGAACTAATAATTTAAAATCAGCCATGTCAACGGAAGCTTTCATAGAAGTCGCAGTTATTTTCTGGTTTCTTCTTGTCGCTGTGTTCCTTCTTTCCTACTCTTGCAGAGAGCAGTCTGATGAAAATTTGGCTGGTGTTCCTCTTCCCGTGACAAGGTTTGCACGTCTAATTTTGCGAGCTTCTACCTATGACAAGCAACATTACAGTGGTTGATTCGTTCTATTTCAGCATCTAGGAGGCGACAAGATTAAATTCGAGCCAGTACAGGCTAGACAGTCGCCCAATACCCGGTTCGAGCCTGCATATTTGCCTCGAGGTCTCACTATTATGTCTGATCCATCTGATTCTGTATGAATATCCTTACAAATCTACCCATTTCGATTCTGCTAGTTACCGTTCTTAGGACTGACCTAAGTCGAGACAAACGTCACAAATAGAAAGCGGCAAAATACATCAGCAACAAGGGAGAAAGAGATTCCTAAAAAAGAGAAAAAGAAAGAAGATCGGAGCTTGAAATACAATAGAGCATGGAATACCGCTCGTTTAGACGGACTAGTGCTGAGAAAGATACGTAGGGTTGCGAGGAGGTCCTGCTGTGTATGCAGGGAAAATGGCTTGCGAACATTAGTCTGTAATACATGTGGCCATGAAACCTGCGCAGAGTGCTTGATTTAATGTATTTTTCCTGGCTTCTATTACACTTCATACTCTTGTTCTTCCTGGCTCCGTTCTATATAACTGTTCTAGGTACTCAACCTAACCACCCTGTTTGGGTGGGGAGATGTGGTGCCAAAATATCAGTTGTTAGCCCCGGCAATGGTGAATATTAGGACAAAGCACATGCAGTATTTGATGTTCTATTACAGGGATAGGGTGACTCTTAATACATTTCCTGCGCCCAACAAGTCGTGTGCAGATCCCTGCCCGAACAGCCTGGTCAGACTTCGGCCTTTATACCTGCACTTTCTAGCTTTTCCTTGCTAGCGAGGACTATTTCTTTCGTCAATTCTATACTATCTACCCTACATACAGTTATCAATATCTCTTTAACTTTGAAAGAAAAGAAACATGAACCAATTCCACGTGCCGTGCCCGCACTTTATTTTACTCCGTGTTGACGAGAGCTCCGAACCTCATATACATTCATCTGACTCCCTCCAGCCCGTTCTAAGCCAGATTCTATCCCCGAACTACAAGATAATCATTCAACAGTACCTTGCTCATACACAGGCACGTATGTTAAATGGCATCGTGGATATATGTTTGAGAGATATATGTGCTGAATATGATACTGGGCATAGTTCAACTTGAACCGCGAAGAGATCCTATCCAAACAAATCAGCGAATCAATCCTATCGATCCTATCCAAGCGAAACAACAAAGCAATTCTATCCAAACACAAAAACTAATCGAATCGAATGAAGTCGCATTGTCACCGACTTTTACAAATGACGAGCACGTATTCCGAACAATCGTCATTGACCTCCTAGATGCTCTTACTGTGAACGGGTGTCAGCTCTTCATGCAAAAGTTGATAGGGGCAATTGACCCATTTAAAAAAGACCAGTATCCTTATTCTGGCGGTGACCAAACCAAACCCCCTTGGTGGCCCAAAGAACTTCAGCATTTCCAACCACGCACCAGAAGAAAGGCGGGTACAACTCCCACTCGCACCTGCAGGCTGTCAGAATTAACAATAGTAAACGTGGTACTGATTTATATAGATGTTATGATATTCATATCTTACATCTTGTCCGATCGATCATTATGGCACCACATAGTCTCCATAATCGAAGACAAGTGTAAGGTGATGGGGCAGGCAATTAGTTGGACGAATATAGAACTGTTCCACTGTATTCAGTCTCTAACCATGGAGTACCATGGTAATATGAGCGGTATGATGATCACTATCTAGTTAAAGGAGGCTCTCTAACTTTCTTTCTTCTTGTTCAGTTGCACCTAGTGTTAGTGATCGTCACTCCCTCGAAGTCCACGAGATCTCCAAAATTGCATCGATGTTTCGTTGCAAGGCACCTGGTTTCTATGCAAAGGCTGGCTACGTCAACTATAACACCCACTTCTTGAACTCACAGGTCAATCCACAAGAAGAGTTTTCAATTGAGTACAGAGTCTATAATCTTCGGGGTGGTGAAATGTTGGTTCTACTAGTCCCTCAGTAGACTGACTACACTAATACTGACAATGTTGATAGTTATCGAAACATTGCCACATCAATGATAATCAAAGACAATCAACTACAGTCAACATCTAGATGTTTCCATCCATTGCTACAACATCCATGGATTGTTTGGCAGATTCAAGATCATCCGGTAATTGGCCACATCTGCTATGGCCGAGTTCCACTGGATCCTTTTTATGTGTAAGTGCCCATATAAACTATCTGACAGGTAGGTTGTTACTGAATTTAAGTACAGGGCTTTCACATTACTTCCTCAAACACCCTGGGAGAGGATAGAATCCTCAATCTCCTCGAATCTCCTCGAACATGTAGTTTGGCTAGAGAAATACGGGCAATATAACAGATGACTCAGATAAATCCAGTGATCACAGGCCTTGCGACAATTTTTGTTATTGTAATATTAGTGAATTTCTGAATAGGAAGATCATGTGCTCGTAGCGCGAAAGCTAGTGTGTTCAGGATATGTAGGTGTCACTGTCAGATGAGCTTCGAGCATTTGCATGCCGCGACGCGAAACTGAGCGGTAATATCAGATAGAATTAATCTTCTAGCATGTCTACTCTAAAAGCAACAGGGGCAGGCAGCGTGTCTGCTGAGCCCAGGACTATCAGGAATCATATGTACCGGGGTCTATTCCCAATATGTTCCGTCAATAGTCAATAGGAGATCATTAGTGGTAGCGAAGTCACTAGCTTTGTATAAAGCGGTAATGTGCTTCTGGACCGCCCAGAAGAGAACATACCTAGCGTGTGACAGAGAAGCGAGTCTTGCATTAGTGGGGGCGAAGACTTATGTTTGGAAAGGCTGTCAGAGTGTCCCCTCAAATTTGGAATTGGGGTACAGTTCATCTGGACAAGCTCTAGCCACCTCCGGCCTTTTTTTTTTTTTTTTTTTTTTTTTTTTTTTTTTTTTTTGTTTATTTGCCTCTACGAAATGGTGGTCCACCCTATACAACCCTGCAACCTCGTTCGCATTACTCGGAAAGCCTGGGCCCTTGCCTATACTCGTGATATTGCTCCATTCATCTCTGCCATGCGGTTTTGTATTCTTAAGCTACTACATTAGTCGATCTATTTCCGCCACTATCCCTCTCTATCCCACTCTTTAGTTCTATAAATATTCCTACCATTCTGTGGCTTTACGTTGCACCACTGCTTCATTTCGAGTATTCTTGACTATATTGTCCTACCTTCACCTCGTTCTTCGTAAATTTCCCTTTACGAGAGTCTCCGTCCAAATAGCGCGGCAAGTCTGGAGCATACTACCTAAGCTGCTCAAAATGGGGTCGGTATCATCGAATCGGCAAGTCAAGAAGCCGAATAGGGGAAAACTGAAGGGCTCCAAGGGTATTCCCAAAAGCAGCACACTTCTGGATATACACGGACACCAATTGCAATTCCCTTTGAGCAAATTGACCAAGGATATGGCGCATGGCCCTACCAGGGATATGGAAAACTGGGTGCACCGGTCAACAGAAGTCCGTCGTCAGGAACCCAACAGAAACCATGGGAAGGTCGCTAGACCCCTGAACTCCTTTTTACTCTATCGAAAGGCCTACAGTGGACCAGCCAAGCAATTGTTAGGGGAGAAAAACCACAGTATATTGTCAGTTGTGATTGGCAGGAGTTGGAAGATGGAGTCTCAAGATGTCCGATATCTATTTCAAAACCTGGCAAACATTGACAAAAGGAAACATATGGAAGCACACCCTTCCTACAAATACTCGCCAAAACCCAGACACGCGAGAGGAAACTCCCGTCGTGACGATACATCTCTCTGTGTCATTGGCACTGGTGTGGCCACGGCCCAATCTCGCCCGGAACTAGAATTTTCTCCTGATTGGACACATGGATTTAATTATCTAAGTACTACGAGCTCCCAGGTGAGTTCCTGCTTCAATGGGGCTCCGATGCTGGATAATGTCCAATCTGGATACTCTTTGAGTGGGCTACCAGGAGCATTGCATCCTGATCTTCTTGACCCTCGGGAACCCGTTCCCATCCCGAGAGCCGCTGCTACGGTCTGGTTTGAAGGTCAGCTACTAGAGATGCAGGACTTTTCCTTGAGCCGCACCTTCGAAGGCTGGTCAAGCTATGACCCGTACCACGGCATCGGTCAAGGCGCGTAAATGGCTACGATTTCGCGGCATTTACACGATACCGTAGTAGACTGATGGTATCCAGGGCAAATCCCTTTTTTTCCCTTTCTTTTGACTTCATAAACAAGCTCCTCATTTACTAATGGTGATTGAGCCGTCTTTTTCCTGTTTTTATTTATATTTTTACCTTTTTGTTTTGTCTTTTCAAAATTACTGTATAGGGTCTGGTTGTTCAAATATAAGTAGTTTTCTACATGTAAATTTGGCTTTTGCATAGTACCCAGTATTTGGCGTTTACTTAATTTGGAAATCGGTCCCCTAGCACTTTGTCTGATATCATGCTATAGGCTACCTTAGGAACTGAATCACATAAGTGCAGCTTGCATGGGACTTACGTCTGACTGGATTTGACACATCCTGACATATTCTGGCACATTCTGACACATTCTGACTCTTTTCCTCATTTATTTCCTTTATAGTTCCTAATCTGACCCAATATTGGCAAATTGGTTTGAATTTGCTGGGGCAATCGGTAACTTCGTCTACTGGACCGACTTCCAAGCTCTTGACGGCTTGAAGAAAGATGGCACCGGTAGGCTACTGGATCCAGATCGTGGCAATGTGTATTCTAGAACCAGGGAGCTTTTCTTTCCTCTGTTGCCATTGTCAGTTGACGGGACCCAAAATTGACACTGAGGTCGATCCAATCCAACAGGGAAAGTTACACTAGCTTCTCCTGACCGCGCTCTGTCATCTATTAGCTTAGTGTTATGTACGAGGATAGGATAGCTCAGGATCCGCATCGTAGCGCTGACCGACAATTTTCGACAACCCACAAAACACAAAGTACCGACACTTTTTTTTAATTGATAATTGATTCAGGTTATTAATCATTGAAGAGGATCTCCTTAGGTCATCACGTGGCAACATGGCTAATCAATATTTAAAAGGGACGTGGGTATCTTTTCCAACGCCCTAATCGATATTACCGATCAGCACCACAGTCAGCGAAAAATGGATGATAGCTACAGTAATGCCTCTTATGTCCATTTATATACACTCGTTAACCAAAGCCTTAGGCAACTCATTATTGAGCAAATTCCGGATGATCCCGCCTGGCACTCATGCTTAATGAGCAGACATCTACATGATCGCTTGGATTTGATTCAAAGATGTTCCCGAGATTTTCTGGAGAGTCAAGATGTATCTCGATTTGCAGTTGGTCTTGCCATTAGGCTATCCAGATTACGCCCAGAATTCCGTCGCAGTAGGACAACAGTGCGCATGGACGCATACACTGTCATTCAATCTCTTCATTATGCTATACGAGGCTACACTTCCGAAAACATTTCGCCCGGACTTGCTCCTGCATCAGAACATGGTCAATATTTTGTCTTACACCAACTAGCAGCGGTCCTGTTATCTCAGTCAGGAACTGTCCCTGGCGCCATAGTTGAGTTAGTTCAAACCATTTTGGCATTGCATCGCTCCCCTGCTGTCCTCTACAATTGCGACTTTCTCCACATGTATACTCCGCTAAGATGTTCGGGAATGATGCATGAGAGGGCTTTATATAGTATTCTTCACCCATGGGTGTCCACTACATTCTTTCTGGCTGACACGTCTTTCCTAATTCACCAATTTTCTTCCGCTATTCCGGACACTCTTGATGATCTTATCCGGCTGAGAGACCCTATATTTGGTGTCATAACTACCATTAGAGATGTCTTTTGGTTACTTTCGGAGGAATGGCTAGATTGGAAGCCAAGTGATGAGGTCTCATTCTTGGGACCCATGAATCTATTCAGTAGCTTCGGTCTCCTTGGGACAATGAAACGACAGTTGTCCTACACGAGATATGATCCCACGCAATATATGTCGTCTTTCATGTGCATCTTCGAGTTCTTCGAAATGTGCAATCAAGAAGCATTGAGCTCAATGTTGGATGATATCCAGTACTCGATGCAGAGCGGTCATCTTTGTGGGAGGCCCTCAGCCCAATCTAATCGTATGCCTCGGTTTCTTCCCCATTTGCGGCAATATCTACTGAGCTTGATTGACTACATTCGTCAACAAAGGGGGGGGTATAGTGGGTCAGAAGCCTTGGTAGCAACTTGATACTCTACCTGGTCTTATTTCGTTATTACCTATGATGTTTATAGTATCAGATCTGAAAATATTGTAGCATGGTGACCACTTTTAGGTCCTTTTCCACTCCTTATGTATTTCTATCATGAACACATTTCGGGTTTCCCTGTTGATTAACTGTTGGATGATTTATATTAAATTAATAGCTATGCATTATATTTATTGCATTGCTGGTAGCCCAGCACATAAATAAGCGATCGCCAAAAATAACAGTAACGGTGGTGAGGCAGACCTATAAGAATGTCACCCTCCACTTTTTTCTCCCTTATCATCACGCATCTTACAGCCTTCCTTGCCTTCCAATTTTACTGAATATTTTCTGTTGCAGGCTGCCCACATTTCTCGATCATGCATTTACCCCTATATATCGTAGCCTATGGATTCAATTCCAATACTGCCATAACATTCTACTGTTTCCTTCTCTGGGTGATGTGCTATACAGCACCTCGCATTCCTACCATTCTCATTACTCTTGCAATCCCTGTTCTCCAAACCTGGAAACAGCGTATTACGGTAGCTAATCAAAGTCAACCACGCCTTTTCCTAGCTAATGATTACAGATTATACGCTTGTTAGTCTGGATAGATGATGTTCCTGGATTTAGACGGAAATACTTGTTTATGGCTGTCTCCATTCTCTCTCGGTCTATCCTTCTAACTTATCTGGATATAAGAGCACAGAAGCCTTTATACTCCCACATAGGTAGGCAAGCAAATCAAACTCACATATCTAAGGTATTAACTCATGTATAGATAGTACAGTGATATCCGAATCCCTCCTTTACTATGGGTTAAAGCAGTCTGTCTCTATCCCTCTCAACTATTGTATCTTTACAATACGGGATTCGATTGATAAGACCTTCCAGCAAAGAGCATGTAAAGTGGTTTTTGACTTGGCAGTGAATGGCGGGTCCATTGCCATGAGTCAAGCTGACTCAATCATGTTACTGGCATCTTGTAGAGGTGTACAATCTGCCTTAGCAATGGTGTCCCTGGATATTGTCTCGGCAATATTCAAACTGACATTTATCACCTACGATACATACTCAGAGCTTGGAGTAGGCGTCACCATCACAGTTTTTATAACAGTGGCTATTAAAGCAGTCGCGTCGCGATATATAATTGGCCTGTCATACAAGGCTCGGTTAAGATTTTATACAGCCAGGCAACAATGCAATCGCCTTCTAGATGAGCTGATAAAATCTAGAGAGCTAATTATTCTAAACAACCAGCAATTGCAGGAAATGGCACGATTCCTATCTCGCAAGGATAGTGAACTATATCACTTTCACTCCATAATTCGCACTATAGAGATCGAACCTCTACTTAGTGAGATAGTCACCTATGCTGGCAGAATAACTCTCCTGTTTTGGCTCAATTACCGATATGGAGGAACCGGTCAGAATTTTATACATATATTCAACTTTTGGTCTAGATTTTCCAAGAGCTTCGACAATGTTTCGAACCGTGTCTCCGGTTTTACTCATTCTATAGAGGCCGAGCATGTCTTTCAAGTCCTTTATGATTATACAGGCGAAACGCAATCAGAGGGCGATCAATTACTAGAAAGTGATGGGAGCATTGATTTTCAAGATGTCTGCGTCTCTTACAACAAGAATACCTTTGCTTTGCGCAATATAAGCTTTTCTGTCAAACCGGGTCAGACCATTGCTATTGTCGGCAGAAACGGTGCCGGGAAAAGCACTATTTTACGAACTCTTATGCGACTGATTGATCACGACAGCGGTGATATCAAGATCAGCAATCATGACATTCGCAGACTGACAAAGGAATCTGTCAGAGAGCATATTAAAATGGTCCCGCAGAACCCGGAGTTATTCTATGGCCAGACGATATTGACAAATCTTACTTATGGCTGCAGGCCCGATATTGATTATGAAACTGTTCAGGAAATATGCAAGCATATTGGCCTGCACGAGAGAATCTTAAGCTTCACGCGAGGATATCAGACCGAGCTTCATCCATCTAATGATCTATCCGGTGGACAGAAACAGATTGTTGCACTTGTTCGTATCCTGTTGCAGAAGCCCTCAATTCTGGCTCTAGATGAGGCCACCAGCCAATTAGATAAAGCCACAGAGAAAACAATATGGAACTACTTGGACACTATCCAGAAAACAAAAATCATTGTCACGTACGTTATGCGGCTACTTCACTACAGGACTATAGCTAACTATGGATATTTAGACATCGGCTACAGAAAATCAAGAATGCTGATCAGATCCTTGTTGTTGAACAAGGCCAAATCGTGGGGAGAGGCACTCATAAAGAGCTGTTGGGCAATGAGATCTATCGGTTACTTCTTGGCTCTGTTTGACAGAGAAGAACTTGCGTTTGAGGACAAGCATCATGAGCTGGTCCATGATAGTCATCGCCGTGCCTGTCGTTGTGTTATGTGGGAAATTTGTGGTGGTCCCATATTTATGATCAATGGTTAAAGAGTATTCCATAAGTGTCCACAGCATTTCTGCAGTTTGGAAAAATGCAGCCTACTTAACCCAGCAAATAGGCAGTTTTATGCTATATAACAATCAACCAAAGTAAATTCCAAACTACCTAGTATCCAATTCAATATATAATCTTGTAAGAAAACACGAAAGCCTTAACATAAACCACCAAACAGAATATTCTCAAGTCCATAACCATAAGTTCCACCTATCCTCCGAATACCATAACAGAGAGATCTCAAGTGTCGCAGTTTAATTCTCCATCGTGGCTGGATATTATAGTGTCTATTTCAATTAGTCACTACCCTGTAACACGTAACACAATCTCCAGACTCACCCAAGTCTAATGGAAGAGAAGGCGCAATAACTCCTCTGCCTTTGTAGCACATACACTGAAGCCGGGCTCCATTAAGTAAACAGAAACTACAGCCCAAGTTTCGTATCGCATCTTTCCTGCAAACATTAAGTATAGACCACAATGATGCAGTATCATTCTTACCCTTTTTGAATCGTGCCATTTTGGTAACCCAAGCATGAATTCAAATTTAAGGGTGCAAAGCGGTAACTGTGGTCTGATCTCTGGCACTTCGCAAATAGCACATGATCCTCAAGCCTTAAACTGGAGCATGTATCTGTAAAGGTTGCTATACAAGCACCTCCAAGTCCAAAAAGGAAAAGAATTCCTTGAACACGCATACTTGAGTGTAAGGAAGGGTTCTAAGGGCTTGTATAAATTAAAGCATAACAGCTGTCTGCCCTACACAAATCTAGCTTTCCAGAAGTAATAGATAACAGACTGTCTTGGGTAGGAATATAGTATAGGATAGAAGTAATAATTTGCATTAAAGCTGGACCGGCCTCCAACTATATACTCGTGCAGGTTTCTTAAATCCGAGGCCTGCTTCTTCTGTCATGTGAATTGGGGAAGCTAATCTAAGGGGTGGGCATCCTAAAGAGACTGGCTTTCTCACAAAACATAATACCTGAGTTATAGATGTGGAAATAAGCTTTTTCAGAAAACAGAAAAAGAAAAGAGGGATGGTAAATTACCTACTACTCAGGCCGAGGCTGAATATACCTAGCTGTATTGAAATATATAATATTTTACATATTCCGGGCTAAGGGCTAAGATAGATCCACTCACCAACCTCCTCTCTTCCAAACATAGTCTCCTGTAGACCATACTACAATAAAACGAGGGAAAATTTCTGTTCCTACAAAAGACTGCTCAACCAGAACCATGACTCATGGATCAACATTGATCACCATATTTGCTGTAGTACTGTTCTCTTCCTTGTGTCCATGCTAGGATACAAATTTTCAAAAGCTTACTTCACCCAGCAATAGAAATTATCATAGTCCTAGGGATAAAAAATAATATTTCAAAGTATCTAATAGAAATGTAATCTATAAGTTATTAGATAAAGAGGAAAGGCACAACACCTACTACAGTACATAATCCTAAGTGTCGCAATTTTAGTTTTCCATCATGGTTAGATATTCTACTGTCTATTTCTATTAGTCGCCTCCAGTAATGATAGTCTGCTTTATTACTGATCTGTATGATATTTGCGCAAGCTATAGTATAATCCAGGTCCTGCATAATAACCATGGATTTAAGTAGCTAAATATTGTAGACACAAGAGGAAATACCCGCCATAATCTAGCCCACCAGAAGATTCGGTTGCGGCATGGAACTTGGAACTTCGAACCAGAATTCAAACATGCCCTGTAGTACCTATCTTCGCTGGATTCCCCCACCCTGACCTCCCAGATATGGTGAAGTTCCTCTTGCCAGTCTTTCTTGTCTCTGCTTTGCACTCATATCCGCCCAAGAACCTCGGTAGCGGATCATGTCCACATCGGTATACTCTTGGCCTGTCCTCTTATGCTTAAACACATACTCCCATCCGCGTTTTGTCCCTACTCCGACAGCCCAGACCTCCCACTGAGGGTTCAATGTCCAGTCTGGGTTGAAGACCATCTGGTCTACATCAGACTGCAAAGTTCTGCGAGGTAAATCCATCTTGAAGTTTTGTGAGACTTTCTGATAGACCCCTGCTCGAGGAATATTCTTAGGAGCATCATTTTGGGTGATTTGCTTTTCACGGCTTTTTACTTCAGCACCCCTTTGCCGACCTATAATATTTAGTACCATAACAGGTGGATATGGAAAGTAAACACTCACGCATGAGTACCTTCAGAAATCTCCCCATAGTTGGCACCTTTGTAATAAGAATTCAGTCTTCTTGGAAAGATATGTCTCGGAAGGTTTTTATTAAATCTTGGAAGTTGGTGAGGTTTGGAAGAAAATTGAGGATTCTGGTCTTATTTTATAGACCGGTTTTGCTGAACCACAGAATATATGGCCCATTGAGAGGAAAATTACATTGATACACTGAAGCGGTAAAGGGCCAATAATTACAGAGATATCCTTCCAACCTAGAGGAAATATTACCAGGTCATCTACAGGCTCATTTTTGACTTGTGACCAGATAATTGTTACCGCTAGCAGATTTTACCCAAAAGTTTTGTAAAGTACTACTATATTCAAAACAGCTCCTACAGGGTTTATACCCCGGTATTTTTGGGAGACCACGAAAAGATTGCTCTACTGCAGATGAGAAACTTACAATTCTACTGAGGTATGTAGGTAATTCATATCTAACCTAATTCATATAGTGTAAAAGTGGTTCACTATATACTTTTATAGACTGTGCAACAATAGCATGAACAAAACTCTAGCTTTGACATTGGCACATGAAACTCTATATAACAATTTTATTGTCTGTCATTTCCTTACATTGGAGTCAGACTCTAAAAGGCGGTATAAAAACTTGAAGCCTAAAGGGATTTGATATATTATTTATCAGAGGTGTGTTTATTTCTTAGGGCAGGTAACTTCTCTCATCACTAATATGTTCTCAGGATGGCTCCTTGCATTTCTTGGATTTGCCTTAAGTGCACAGTAGCCTGTGATTCCCATGGTTGGAATCGTGAAATCGTTCCTTACGGACCAGGCGCGCAACTGGAGGCTACTGCTTCCCATATATTATCTGCGAGAAGTAAAATCCAACTGCATACTATGTGTGAGAAGTGTTGTGGCCTTGAAGGTCTCGACCTTGAAGACGAAAAGAGCCAGATAGAACATATCCGGCGGTTATCAAATACGGTATATTTTGGTGGATCAGGTTATTGGAAACATCAAGAATGGAAAATATGTTACCCAATTATGGAATGTTATGAGATCATGCAGCGTGTGAGGGAGAATAAAAAGGTTCAGCTTCATCTGATGAGCTATGCTTGCTTATCTTATTGAGGCCGAAGTCTTTCCCCTTGCTCTGATTCTATTGTTATCGGTGACCTATATACGCTATACGCACTTGTTTATGGCGGATGATGTGCCGGATTGCAGAAGACGCCGAAGGATGCAAGAATGACGAGGTGATATCTATGTCTGGTCTCTTAGCTATCAAAGGCCCTAGTAATTCAAGATGTTCTATTATTCTAATAAATATATGTTGGCTTGTCAGAAAACAAACTTAAGCCTCCAGCTGAACCTGGGCAAAGGTAAAGAGAAAGACAAAGGAAAGTCGCACGGATAGTAGTAGGTGAAAAAGGTAACCCTTCATAAGAGGATAAGTGACATTGGACATTATATAAAGAAGAGGAGCCTTTATGTGTAGTAGATTCTATGGTAAATATACAAAACTAATTATCTCTTTTCTAGCTACATACAAAGAGCTTTATTGAGAAGCTACAATTAAATAAAGGGCAATAAATAGGTGCAATAGCATAAATCAAGCAGATCACTCATTATCTGAGAGGGTTGTGTGGACAACTGTGTAACTTGTAACTGTAGGAGGTGGCAGAGGTGGAAGAGTGGTGGTAAGTCTGTCAACACATATAAAAGAGTATTCTTGGGCCTTTGGCAAGAATTGCTTCCAGAGTTTCCCAGGGTTCAACGCAAAGTGAGTGGCCAGGTGACATGGGGATTTATTGCTCTGAATGGCAAGAAGCCAGGATGGTAAACTGTTGTTCACTTGATAGAGCATATTAGTAGCTCCGACCTTTCCGATCTCTTCCTGACGTCGCCAGAGATTGTCCAAGGTTACGTTATATAAAGTGAACGAGACATTATGAGAGAAAAACAAAATAGTATCACCAATAGAGGCATTCAAGAAGTTGCGAGACGAAATCCTAGCATCAGGGAATATCTCAACCGAGTGTGTAGTGCTTCCAACAGAAGATTGGTGTGCTGATGTTGAATGGGGACAGCGCGATGTTACAGCTCGTGTAATGGTAGTTGTTAAGGTGCTCTTATCAAAAGTTGAACTCGTTGTCCATACAGGATATCTGCTCGTCGAAGTTCGTAGTAAGGTTGAAGATGGTTGACCAGTAGCGGCTGAGCTAGAAGTGGTACCTAGAAAGGCTGTTGCCGTTGTTGATGGCGCAGAAGTACTTCTAATTTCAGAGGATGAGCAGGGGATTTGGAATGTTGATGAAGGTTCAGATACAGCTTGGCTTGTTCCTTTTGAAGGAGCTGAAGGATTGAGGGGTATCGCGGGGACTAGCTCAATATCAATGCAGGAGGTATAAACCTATTAGATCAGTAGCTGTGCATACCGGCATCTCAGGAAGATAGTGACACACAAGAAAGCCATCACCGACCGACAAGGTTGTATTCCATATCCAATATATAGTGTAGACTCCGTAAGATGTCACATCCCACGGAATCTGGAATGCGTTAGGGCAAGCGTTTCTGGTGTCCCATGGATACAAGGGTGTTTTAAGTACTAAATAACAGCAAGAAGTAAGTTAATCATTTTATGTTATTAATAAGGAACCCGTTCACATACTATGGCCTCTGTGGTCTTTATAAAAACTCGATATATCCGAAAACGTGCGATAATCTTGTGGCGAGAGCGTTGGGAACCCATACCACCGCACAAATCCAGTTTTGGGGTGACTTTCTGGGATATAGCTTGGGCAAATGATAGAGCCAGGTGCTGCTTTCAAAAGATTCCAAGGACTAACTTGATAAGTCTGTCTCTGGAAGTCACTGCAGAAGTATGAGTAAGGTTCGCTATCGATGAAGCCATAGAAGCTCTGTGGCATATATTCAAGGCCTGGCTGTAGTGAGCTATTTATCCTTTCACATCTTTCTGAGTAACCTACTGAAATTTCGTGGGTAGCCTATGTTCTGTTCAAGGATGCCGAAGCTGGGATTTAGCACCTGGAGATGTTGAACCTACAATGAGTTAGCGACCTGTTCTTTTCGCTCTAGATGATACCCAGTAGTACCTGCAGCCATGCCCAATTTGGAAAAGAAAGGGCAAGAAAAGACCAAAGGATCATTTGCATTTTGAGCAGAATTTGGACCTGGCAGAGTTATATCTCTGATGTCACTTTCGGACCGCAATGCTATGTAGGTCGCATATGCAAGGAAAACAATTTATAAGAAAACAAATAAAAATCAAGAGGATTTCATGATCCCGTACACTGATATATCTCGGGGGCTATTTTCTACCTTACCACCCTAGGGAGATATTCGTTAAGTTTTTGCTGTGAGAAAACTCCCATTCTGTAACTCAAAATGGTCTTTCAAAGTAGTTACTGCAAGGAATAGAGATGCAACTTCAACAATTAGATAACACTGAGGCCATTTAGAGACACATGCAGCCAATAAACACAGAATACACAGGGCTGAACCTGGCCCTGGTAGTATAGTCTATTAGCGTAGTATGGAGTCAGTGGCATGACCACAGGACAAAGTTCTTTGGGGTAATTTTTATCCCTGTTGCTTGTGCCGTGTGAGTCCACCCGCTCTCCATCTGTGCCCAATAATATGAAACACTTAAATTAATGGAGAAATATATTTAATTACACTGGCACTGCTGCCTGTTCCGCTATGTTGGTAACAAATCAGGTTGCAAGTCATGTACAGAGTACAGCCAAATGTTTTTGGTTGTAATTAACAGCACCAAATATAGCTCTCTGACCTCATAGAATGGTCATAGTGCAGGCATACAAAGTTCACTGTAATTTTTATATTCATTATTGCTTAGTGTTATAAGGGCAGCATTTCCAGCCGGTAATTTAACAACCTATCTGCTGGATATGTGATTACACTAAATAATTATTAAATATTTAGTATCTCTTGTAACTTACACCTATACAAAGTAATTAAATAAGTTTTAATCCCTTCCTGTTATTTATGTCTTTTTGGAAGGTTGTTTGCCTCTCTCAGAAGAGCTGATTTCAAATTGAATATATCATGAAATATCTAGTATAGTAACTGTGCTTTACAGTACACTTATTGTTTTGTGTAGTTTATATGTTTTTACCATAGCATTAGATGCGATAAAAAAAAGTAAAAATAAACAATCACATGAGGAAACAGCTTTGTCTCAGAAAAGGGGACGAGGTAAGGAAAGGTAGAGTAGGAGCAAAGCAGGCTCAAGAAGACAGAAAGTAGACACTGCTTCACCAGAAAATGTCTTCTTTGCTCCCCAATTTCTGTAAATCATCTACTGACATCTAAATTCGGCAATTCTTTGAGTCCTTCGTGTGCTTCAAAACGTTCATTCAAGTACAAGGAAGTGCAGACCAAGATGAAATATTCCGAGGCTGTGAGCTCAGCGAAACAATTGTGCCATAGGGTCCAAATAAAACTATCCCATGGAAGAAAAGGACCTCCAAAAGAAGTCGAAATCACAATCCATTGTTACGATCGGCGCCCTACCGATATCATTATGTTTGTGAGCTCCTGGAATACGACTCCCAAGTAGTAAGTCTTAGGATCCTGGGATTGAAGAAATATATCCATGCTCATGCTGTGAAGCTCTCGATAATAGCCCATCCCACCACTTCAATCATAGAGTAAAGTAAGGGGTTGAGCGGATCTGTATATTCCTAGTGCATATAGCATATATTGGGGAAGGTATCTAGGTTCATAACTTAATATCAAAAACAATGTTTTGATTATCTGTATATCCTAAACTAGAACTATTGAGCCTCAGAAAGCTGCTGATATGTACCATTTGGATGTCGCTTCCTCAGATCATATCCCCACTTCTGCTGTCACAATCCTCCAATCCCCATAAACTAAGATAACGCTGTTCTGCATTTCGTAGTCGGATATTGACTTGAACAAGAGCATCCTCCATATTGTGGAATAAGCCATACATCTGTTCCTGAAATTGTAGCAGTGCTTGTTTGGTTTCTGAATGCCAGGAAAGCTCGGCTTTCAAGTAGCTGACTTCGTAGGCCAAGTCCTCAACCTGCTTTCTCAAGCTTCTTGGTTGCATTTTCGATTGTTGAAGGCGTGAAGGAAGGCGTTCAATATTTGAAGAGGTACCACCGTGACGTAAGATCTCATGGTCTTGAGGTGTGACCTCCTCCTCAATCGCGTACAACGGGCGACGTGCGTAGTGACGATTCATTTTAATATTTAAGGCCAAGAGAGGTTGCGGAGGTGGAATTAGAGATGGCTTTTCTTCTTCTATAAGATGAGTGTAAAGGAGCACTCAGCCAGAATAGAGCGCTTTTATAAGCAATTTATAACTTGCTGGAACAAAGACGCCATTTGAAGGGTCACAAATGTCCCTAGATAATAAGCTGACAGAGTTCCTTGGGAGCACTTGGATTTTAAAATGTTAGAGCACGATCTGTTCTGCAGTGGACTAGCTGCCCTAAGGAAGGCTAGTAATGGAGCTTAGGATTCTGACAAGATTATGTCTATCGCTTAGTCTCGTTTTGAAAACCCTGGGGACTGTATGACATTGACTGTGCGGACTTGAATTTAAATACATGAATACACACATGCAGACAAATACACATATATATAGAAAGTGAAGAGTACTACTGAATTCCTTCCATACCGTACATTACTTCTTTGGCCAAATTTTGGCCAGGTCTGTCCAGAACCTGGACATCGCCTTCCACCGGCAACTCAGCTGGAAGGGAAACATCGGTGTATGTATCCCCTGCCAAGAAAGTGTTACCTCCATCACTCCCATTGGTTGAGGAACAGCAGCCAAAAGTAGTCCGTATGGTCTCTTGAAGCGTTTCTATGATGCCTTCCTTGAGTTTGATTGTCATTTGAAGGTCCTTGATGGTCTCCTGATTTTTCATGTTTTCCAGGCATATGGCAAAAACATCGAGCGGTTCATCCTCTGAGTGCCTCGCTGCGGCCTCGGCCTCTGCTAGTGATTTCACTAGTAGGTCATTGATTGTGAATAGGGTTGTGGCGCGAGAATCTAGATCCTGAGATTTTGTCCGTTCTGTGGCCAATTCTTGCCGAATCATGTCCATATCTCCGGACACTCGCGAAGCACGGGCTTCGAGAAGACCATTCCTCCATTGTGCATCTACTAGTTTCTCCTCTAGTTGACCGCAACGGTACCGTTCCTGCTGGAGGTGGGAGTTATATTCATTCCATCGGAACTCCAATTGACCCTGGTATGCTTTGGATGCTTGTTCACGCTCCAGAAATTCTTTAGTTAGCTTGGAAATATTGTGCCCGTTGGATTGTTGGACTTGGGTAGCCTTTCAACCTGTATGTGAGCAAGGACTTGGATACAGAGTTGGGTTCTGTACATACCGATAGGAATGAGCTATGGGAAGGCAGTGAATGTTCCATGGTGTTATTCGTGTCACTCCCTGTTTTAGGAGCAGAAGATGCCACTTCGGGAATTTGCTATGCTGTATAAAGTAGCCTCAATACAGAATATTTATGCCATAGGACAATAGCTGTATATAGGACAGGCTTTCCCAAAGCTGGAAGGTCGTGATAATACAACTATGAAACACAATAAATCTCACCTGGTAGACCCACAGGGAAAATTACAGCGGTACTAGGTTAGTCTATGCCGAGTGTTCCCCGAGCTTTACCGTATGTGGGTCACCAAAGTTACCGATACCATGTAATATTACCTCATTTTAGCTTGAGAAGCGGATTCGTGGGTAAATTACAGTGATACAGCACTAAATTAAAAATATCCTGCCTGATGCAGGTGTGGGGAAGAAACATATATATAGTACATTACTTCCAAAGCTTGTTTTAATACACTTGGCTGAATAAGCAGCAATCACTAACTTATCACATCTATTGATACCCTGTATATAAATATTCATGATTTAAAATATAAATATATTACAATCAGGTAAAGCATTAATTTTTCACTTTACCAAATACTCACCTTGTAACTGGAAGGCTGTGAATACATTGCCATTATGGCAAGGTAAAAGGCAAAGCCGAGGAACACTACTCCTAAGCTAGGTTCAAGACTATGATGAAGCCCGCAACAAGAGTTCTTTAGACTACCCTCTACCATCTACCATAAAATTGGTCTAGTACTGGAATCCAGGTGTCACCTACCCAATGTTCATGTATATCCAGCTCATATTGTATTAGAGAGAGGAAGTCTACTCCCATGAATAGTAATAGTCCTACTAGTCCATCTGTACCGATAAAAAAAAGGAACAGAATAGCAAAAGAAAAATGAAACATGTATCCACAATTCTCTCAGCTGCTGATGGCAACGCCCATGCCTTCTCCTTCACTATCATAGAAACCCATCAAGTCATCAGAATCACGGTGTCTCGATAGACGCGCAAGCAGATGATGGAATCTCCGACAGGCATCATCCACACCCGAACTTATAGTATTTATCCGCTCATTTTCCTCATTAAATGTTCTCGCAAGGTCATGCAACCACTTCGAATAGCTGTCCACCCTTCTAGGAAGTAACATCAATTCGTCAAGGGCATCATCAATAGAGCTGAGCCTTGCTTCCAGGTTGTTCACCCTCTCAAGTAATTTATTCACCTTGTCGTCTGTATACACGTCATTCCCTCCCTTATATCCCTCATCCGCACCTGTGTCTTTTCCATGTTCCACTTCTTTGGGAGTCTGACTGATTTTGTTGATTTGCGACTCCATGTTTGATAACTTCTGGAACAACAGCTCCCTAATGAGTGTACAAGTTAGCATTGTATTCAAATGAGGATGCGAAGGGCCAACCCACCCGGTTGTAGGGCGACAAGCCATGCTGCTCTGAGAAAGGCTGTTGGATTAGTCAGTCAGACATCAGCTGGTACCATTGTTGGAAATACTCACGTTACCCCCTGTCCTTGCGGATCATAAAAATTATTATGGATGCTCCTAGACGTCTCCTCTGTTCGGTGGGCACTCCGGTGTGGCGATGGAACAATGGGCGGACTGCTTTGGGTTGCCAAGATATCCTCTACGGCAGCAGTAGATGTATCTTGGTGGCGCAACGCCTCCCGAGTTATAGGATTATAGTCTAGGTGGTCAATGCCTTGTTCGAAGTTGTATGGAAAGTCAGGAAACTGGTACATTATGAAAAGTAATCAGATAAGGACAAATGTAACAGGTTGATATAGACCACATAGCCCTTGAAGGCAAGAGTCGACACTTTATACTTGCTACTGACCCAATGACTGTATGAGGTAAGTGCTTTGCCTCTCATTCCAGACTAAGTTTTACCCCTGCAGGCTTCCCCTTGTCATGACTATTGCAGTATGAACCACGGTATCAGTCGCAAACTTACAGGAACAGATTGCTGTTGTATTATGGCATCTTGGCGAAGAGCTAAGAAACCATTTCTGTCCCGTCTCCCAAGGGTGTCTAATCTGCACTGAAAACAACCACGGTTTGAGTATGTCTGCGGTAGTGGGGTCCTGTGTATTCTTATTTGCTCCTGGCTACTACATAAGCCACCCTATCATTGAGCAGCGTTCTGGAAGATCCTCAAAGCTAGGCTTAAGATCCCCTGGACTTGAAATTGGGAACATGTTACAGACATGCAATGCCTTGGCACGTTGAGACACCCTAAAAAAAGGAATTAAAATACAACTAAATGTAGATTATTTAGTATTGGATACTACTTGTTTCTTATCCGAATGATTGCTCCCGTGGATACACTGAAACGGGGACGAGACATTGATCAATTATTTCGATACCTGGGATCAGTGGACCGCCATCCGATTCGGCAAGAGTATATTAAAAGGATAGTCATCTAGCCAGGGAAATTCTTTTCGCCTTGATAGACTTAGGTGGTCAAGCAGGAGTGTTGCCTTGTAGGGAGAAGATAGATAAGCTGCACTATCTGCTCAGCTCATACAACAACACACAAAGTAAACAATCTGTGACACAAATCGGTATGCGTCCAAGAAATGATAGTAGCTGGCTTGATGTCAGACACAGTGGGGAGGGTACTTTTGTCATCCGTGACCACGGCCGATTGTCGCAATTAATCTCTGAATTGCCTCAACCGAATCATCAATATCCTCTACTGTCGGTTTTCATCGGCAATAAGACCAAAGACGTTGCCCTACAGACAATCTTTCCCCATAACAATATTCGGAGAACCCGATCAAAATCAAGTATCAGTTTGCGGTACGATACAGCTTCAGTTGGTTGTGACAATCCGATCCTATTCGCCGATGGAGATCTTAATTCGAGCCGGGATTGCAACGATCCCATGCCAGGGGTGCATGACTATTCAGTCACATGGAATGTTGATACCACTAATGATGCGTTAAAGCTGGTCTATGCTCGTTTGGTATTCCTCTTTGCTGATGTTGTGTGTATTTTTGCGGACGACTTCCCTGATCTTGCGTCAGTGGCTCAGTTCTTAATTGACTGCATTGAGTCGCGTTCCGCATCGACGCTACCTAGAGCGGTCCGACCGCGGGTGCTTGTGGTTCTAGCGGATTACGCGGACCACGCTGGTCAAAACAGCCCTCCGGTCGAAAGTTTCTACCAGAAGCTACACGCGGCTGGCCCTACTCACCTCTCCGAACCATTCTCTTTTATAAACCTTGTATACTTGGATCTCAATCATTCAGAACAAGCCAGATACAATCGACTGCGCATGTGGCTGAAAATACAAAGTGATGACATACGGACTGTCCGTAGCGAAAACTGGGCAGACTGGAACTTATTGCACCTAAACGCATTTTTCCGGTCGGCGCTTAGCCAGCTGTCGTCGGATGACCAATCCCCATTTAATTTTGTGAAAGCATCCAGGGAAGCGAATCCTGTACCTGCCGGATTGAGCAACCACATCTTGCACTATGTGGAGGTTGGCATGCGACAAGGATGCTCGCTGGAGACCTTGCTTTCAACTATGGTGTCTGCCTTGATGTTGGACCACTATGTGCCTGACATGATGCGTATGATCTTCCCCGTGTCTCTAATTTTCAGTGGGCCTGTCTCCACATATTCGACCTTTCCCTAATAAGAATGTAGTGATGGAGCCACGGGCCGTCTTGCGAACTCTATACCGCCCCGCATTCCTCCGGGCGTTCCGTGATTACAGAGGACCGAAGCTCCCGAAGCCAGGTGCGGTATTGATCTCTGAAGTGGAACAAGAATTTGTGAGACAGTTACATTTACTACAATCTAGTGGACAGCCATCTCTAGATTTTCGACGTTGCCATCTTTTATCGATGAGCGCTGAATTAAGTCAAATACAATCGGACCGAATCTGTCTGTACTGCCTAGTTCGCCCTGCACAACATTCTCAGGCATGTGGCCACACAGTTTGTGATCTCTGCCCCCAATTATTTGGGGTACCAGCTGGAGACGCAGAGTACCGGTTTACCATGTTGATGTGTCTACTGTGCCAGTCGCAAGCCACAACCGTGATCGACGTCCTCCCGCCTACTATGAACCCAACTGTATTGGCTATCGACGGTGGGGGTGTCAGGGGAGGTATCCCGTTGGAGTACCTACTGCTGATTCAAGAAAGCCTAGGCGCGGAGTGTCGATTGGTGGATTTGGTGGATGTATCCGTTGGATCAAGCTCCGGTAAGTTTGCCCCTGAATTAGCGTGTCCCAAACTCCCGGGTCGGGCTGGCCCACATCAGATAACATGTTGCCGTGCCCCAAATAACTTGAAGTGGGAAACCGTTGCTAATGACAACAGGGGGATTGCTGGTTCTAGGCCTGATCGGCATGGAGTGGGATGCACCCACCTGCTCCCAAACATTTGACCTTCTCGCACGGCGTATTTTCCGCGAACGCCGACAACCAGTAATATCTTGGCTGCTTCGCTTGGTGTTGGGCCGGGATTCGCTCCTTGGGGATATCCCGAAATGGCTGTCCTGGTTTCTCCATGATAGCTGCTACGACCCCAGAATCTTTGACGTCAGCCTGCAGGAAGCGTTTAGCGGAAACAGGCGTGTCTTTGATCCGGTTGGCGAGCCCTCGCGATCACCTGTGCACTCCAGGTCCAAATTTGGTGTCATTGCAGCGAGCATTGCTAAGGATACTCGATCATTCGTCTTTGGTAATTTTAACGCATCTGACTGGTTTTGTAAAGATCATGGTAAGAGCGCTCTATTCAGCGCGGAAGGTACCCCACTAAAATGCTCACCTATAGGCTACGAGCTGTTTCGAGCCGAAACCAGAAGTACTGAGCCTCTGATGTGGGAAGTGTAAGTTACTCTAAATATGAGAACTATTGTGTCCATCCTTACACAGTACAGTGCAAGGGCTACAGCTGCGGCTCCATTGTAAGTAAAATGCATTGTTGCCCCGGTTGCATTACAGTTCCAAAAATCTTTAATATACATGACTAGCTTCTTTTCCACGGCCCATTTACGCAATATCGGCTCATTTCAGGATGGGGGATTACAAGATAATTTTGCCGCTGGTATTGCCGGCAGGCTCTGCCGCCGAATCTGGCCCTCCAAGACAGGTATTGCAAGACTAATTTCCATGGGCACCGGTGATGCCAGCCCTCCCGCCGACCGTTCGCCCCATTTTCGTCATGTTTTCCGAGACGGCTTTCTCCGCAGAGGTTTTGACGCTTTCATGTCGAACTTGGGTACCACGTCAAAGTGGCTGCAAATGGTGGAACAGCTGGATAGTGCCGTCAGACCCGACTATATTCGGTTGGATGTCTCTCTGAACGACATCCCATGCACCATTGATAACGCTGAGGCCATGGATGATTACCGTAACCTGGTTATCCTCCAACCAGGAAGCGCCCGAATGGCCGGTGAAGTAGCAACATCTTTGCTCATTGCTCGCTTCTTCTTTGCCCTGGAGAGTCATATAGAGATTGAGTCTACTGGGGCACATGTCTGGTGTCACGGCACCATTCGATGCAAAGGGCCAATCAAGGCTGTTGTAGGGGCTCTTGAGCGACTACACCCCGAAAATGTCGACTTTGTCAGCGATTCAGCACGACTAGGTACTTTTAGTGGTAACGACGATGTATGCCGTGCCTGTGGTCGCTACTCGAAATCCGTCTCCCTGCTCCTCCGACATCCCGGAGAGGTAGTAAACATCTACATGCGGATTAATAGACACCAAAAGTGGAGAATTAGCGGTTTCCCGGCTAGCGCGGCATCCATTACTAAGATCCAGCAACTACAACATGCATTTGGCCGATCAGACCACGGCCGGCCAAACAATATGCCCTGTGCCTTATGTGATGGTCTAGCTAGCCCATTTCGAGGAACCCGCAGGAAGCGCGCTTCTATGGTGTCCATCGAGGAACCGGGGAGAAAGCGAGTCCGTGTGGTGGATCAAGCTCAAGTTTACACAGCAGAGGGTTGAGCTCAGAACATGCCTCCAAGGATTCATGGAACCGTTATGACCCCTGCAGTACTTTCTTTTTTTTTTTTTCTATCCTTGTTTCTACCCCTTGATTTAACATTATCCAATATTTTATTTACCATTGTCATGTCTTTCACTCAATTATATTTTATACTTTTTGTATTTTATTCGAGATTATATTGTGTTGGGTTTTATTACGCTTCCTTATTTTCCGTATTTTCCGTATTTTTCTTATTGGTTTTTTATTTGGTTTTTTATTTGGTTTTTTATTTGGTTTTTTATTTGGTTTTTTATTTGGTTTTTTATTTGGTTTTTTATTTGGTTTTTTA